ATCACTCAACCTTTTATTTTTAAGTAAAATATCATATTAAATAAGAAAAAATTTTTAGATGAACTAGGTGCATCATGTTATTTGTAGTCCATCTAGTAAAAACATGACATTCAAATAATATTAAATAAAAATTAATTATAACATTGATGATATTAGAAAGAGAGAGTGCAATAGATTAAATAGGCTAAAATGCACAAAATGAATTTTGATGCCAATGCACATGATCCCCCTCAATTTGTAATCTTTAAAATTAACCCCAATAGCCTTTAATTTTTTTTAAACCCACTACCATTAATTAATTGTTATTTTACTAATATAGTTATTGCCATGTCATATTAATGCTATACACATGGCACATGACATTAAAAAATATTTTTATTATTTTTTAACACAGTTTAAGGACTAGTAAAATAGTAATTTTTACTTTTAACATACATGAGATGCTCTCATTTTTTTAAATTGAGCAACATTATTTTTATTATTCATGGGTAATACAATTTAAGAAAAAAATTGTAATTTTGTCATTTTTATCAATTAAAACATCATTTTATATTAAACAGATAAAAAAAATCTAAAAGCTGTCATTAATAAGAGTCATATAAATTAAAGATTAGGGGTTAATTTTAATCTTTGAAAAGTGAAGAGGGTCTATGCAATTGCATTAAAATTTAAGAAAGTTTTATGCATTTTAGCCAAATAAATACGCATTATGTTATAAGAACAAGATTAATTAAAATAATGCAACAAAAGATTTTATTTAAATAACTTGAAATATTTTTATTGATAAATCACGAATGATATGGGACACCTAATTTATATAAGAATTTCTCATTAGCCAAGAGCAAGCATAAAAAGATAATATTAGTTTAAAAATAATTAATTGACCTAATGAGAGTCTAACTTAATTAAAAATACCATATATTTTTTAAGAGGAAGAATACATTAGTACAATATAGTGTTAATTAAAGAAAAATCTAGATGCATGCAACTGGGATATACATTGAACTCAATTCAACTGGCTTGCATACAAAGACAACCATGTAAAAGAAAGTGACTTGATACGTCCCTGTTCTTTGCTTCACCATTGCCACGCTGGAACCGAACCGGAGGAAAAAAACCGTTGTTTAAAAGTAAAATTATCGGACTTAGATTACAGCAGTACGGAGGGAAAATAATACATGCTACAACTACATTCAACCAGCGTATCTCTGGTCCAAAAAAAAAAAAAATAAACCTAGGTTTCATGCCACGTGTTGCAGGCTTATGTGCCTGTTGGTTTTACGGGGAGAGTATGCGCATCGCACCTCAAGTTTTGGTATTTTAAGTGTTGGCCTCTTGATATATCCTGATATATGATCAAGAGGAAACAAATTAAAGTTACGTCGGGTTCCAGAAAAACTCATCGTTCTTTTATGCGTTTGTTAACGCCTATGATAATTATGGTATATTCTGATACTTTCTCCGGAAAAGATTAATAATCTTATTTGTGATATATGTATTTTAAAAAGTAAAATTATTTTATTTATTATACTGCATCTTTCTTATTTTAAACCCAGCGTTCAGTTTTCTTGACATTTTGATTTTTGATACATAGTGCGGAAATCTGTAATTTTCTTTGTGAAATTAATTCCATTGGTGTGATTGTGTTTTCTAAAATAAAAATAAAAACGAAACATAACTTAATCGAATTAATTCTGAAAGTAATATGGTTTCGCAGTTTAAATACAATATAAATTTCCAAATCAATATAAAGGAGTGTCCAATTTTTTCTCAATTCATCGTTCACTGAAATATAATGCGTTTTACTGCTGTGAAATCAAAGTGTATAGGTTTAAGTATTAAAGTGTATTTTTTGCCTCTATACTTTCCTTCAAAAAATGTTGAGCATCCTATACTAATATATAGAGTATTTTTCTTCTTAAGTTATTTTTTAGAGGAGCAAGAATTTTTTTTCTATTATCCCACTTATTAGCATAAGGTATTTAGTACTCCTCAAAAGAAAGTATAGGGTAAAAATACATTTTAACTTAAAAGCAAATACCAACAACCATTTTAATTTAAGCAATAATTATTTTTTTAATAATAACTATAATTGAACAAGCAATTACAACTAACTTGCATAGGAAAAATTGTAATTGTTAGTTCCATTTTGGTTATTGCCAAGAAAAAAATAATCATTGCTTAAATTAAAATAGTCACAAACTCACTGATATTTATAATATTTGAATTTCAGTGAATTAAAGTTTTGCACAGGAAAGTTGTAATTAGCTATTTCATTTTAGTCATTATTAGAAGGAAATAGTCATTGCTTAAATTAAAATAATTATTAATTTTTTTTAAAATTGGAGATATTTTAGTTATTTGACAAAAAATCATTTATGTTTAAAAGGTTAAAGGTTTAAGAAAAATTATGATATTTTACAAAATTTCATTATTATTTGCATATTTCAGGGGGTTAAAATGCATTTTCCTCCATACTTTCTTTCGAAAAGTGTTGGGCAAATGTATTAGTAAGTGAGAAATTTTTTCTTATAAATTATTTTTTAAATGAGCAAAAATCTCTTTCCGTTAACATATCACTATTGGAAGAAAATTTTGTTTCTTTGAAAGATGATTTAGGAAAAAATTCTTTATTTATTATTATAGGGTGCCCAGCTCTTATTGAATGAAGGTATGAGAGCAAAATAATATTTTAATCACAAATTTAATAGGAGAATTGGTTATGATGTCTGAAATAACTCATAAACAAATAGACTAACTTAAGTTTTTTTTTTTTTTAAGTATAAGGAGTAGGCTCTGTCAATATACAGACAATAGAAAATATCTTTTCTAAGAGCATGAATATGGACTTCTCATAATTAAATTACTACATATGCAAGGGCTATGATTCAAATCACCAACCACTTATTTAAGTGATAAGAGCATTTACTACTAACACTAATTTTAGTTGGTAATGTAAGTTTCATTCCATTTAATGTCTCATTTTTTTAAATAAAAAAAATAATTGAATACCTTTTTATAGTAACCCATATAGTGTATGGAGTCAAGTCCTAATTAATTTGGATCAAGCTGGGTCGGAATTCTTTCATCACAGAAGCTCTAGAATAAAGTAACATTGAATTTCAGAACTTGAATTCAATACTTTTAATTAAATTGATACAATTCTTTTAGTTGTTGATAACAGCTGAAAAACTACATTGGCACCGAATGAACCACCCTCCATTAATGAAGCACGTTTTGTTTTGTTGTGTTAACAAAACAAGGGGCACTTCTTTTTCTGGCCAGCGGCACAACATAAGATAACGTTTTTTTTTTTTTTTGGGGAACCAATTAAGCTGATATAAAATTATAAATTATAGTGAAAAACTATCATGTCAAAATAAGTAATGGGGCCGCAGCTGACCGTTTACCATCCATGATCAACGGTTGTCCTGTTCGTGTATTATATACTTTTTTTGGGAAATAATTCAAACTCTAGAAGAACGTGGAACGCTAGCAGTTACATTCAAAATCATGTTTATATATATATATATATATATATATATATATATATCATATATATTTTGTTTTCATAGTCAAATATAATTCCAAGTCAAATAAATGTGATGCTGACTCGGATATTCCGCGGATGATTAGGGCTGTCACCTAGCTAATTTCACCATTCTCGGTCAAAATATATTTAACTTATTCATTTATGGCATCTAATAAATTAGCCGTCAAATCTTTTTGCAATTAGAATTGGATTTATTATCTCCAGATATCACATAAAATTCGATCAAATGGGAATTAATCGTATACTCGATATTGTTGAAATCGTTTATTTATTTAAATTAGTTAAGTTTTGTGTCAAAAATCAATCTCCTTTTTTCAATTTATGTTAACAGTTTTTATATAATATTTTTTCCTTGTTTAATTTGTTGGCCAAAAAAATCATTATTTAATAAATACAGCTGTGATTAAATAAATGATCACTTGAACCTGAAGTCTTGAACACATTAAACTGGAGCCTGTTTTAATGTAAGTATTATTTCTGGCACATTTTCTTTTAATTTTATTCTGTTGGTCAACAAAAGCAGAAAAGCACCCAACCTGTGAAAACTCGGCAAAAATATTTCCTTTGAAGTAATTTCAAAAAGAAAGATCAGCCAAACAATTTTGTTTCATATCCATGTATCCGAATCTAAATCAAATCTAAAATTTATTAAAAGCAGAACTATATACAATTTTTTCACATATACATACACATAAGAAATGTAGCAGATATTGTAGGAGGGCATTTAATTTTTTTAAAAAAGGAATACATGACATATTGATTAATTTTATATAACATATAGATTGATTAATTTAACTGCAATAAAAAAATTTAATTGAGTAGGTTTTTTATTGGAAAAAATATTTAATGACAGTTAAAAATAATTTACTAGTACAAAGAGTCAAATATTGCCACCCTTAGCAGGAATTTGGGCAGGACAAAATAAATCGAACTTGAATACTCAAAATTTTTAATTATTTTTTATTTTAAAATTAATTATTTTATTTTATAAAAAATATAATATATTTTTTTTATACTTAAGTAATGTGTATGACTTAAATATACTGTACTTTAATATAAAATGACTTAAAATTTAAAGAATTAATTAATATTTATTATATTATATATATTTTTTAAAAAATTTATTTGAGTATTTGAGTTAACCCCGATCTCAATTTTAAATAAGTTCAAACATATAAAATTAATTTTTTTAACCCAATCCTAAATACTTTTAAACGAACTCAGTTAACCTATGAGATTTGATTTGAATTATTGGCCCCGCCTTGCATGAAGAAACAGGGATATGATAGATGACGGAGAAGGTACTGTTCGTTATCCTACGTAGTGAAACTAATATAAAATATCCTAGGCTGAAAAAACCAATATAAAATATTTTTTAAAAAATGTTTTTTTCAAATATAAAAAAATAACAAATTGCATGAGCGAGCCGCGTGAGCAGAGAGAAAAAGGTAGGAGGTGCTGCCGGTGACCCACCTGCTGCTCCCGAAATCTCGTTTCGCGGGCCATTCCTCGATGAATATCGATGGCCTTGTTCTCTTGTTTCTGTTTCACCCTTCTCCTCATCCCTTTTTTCCTTATTTTTTATTTCCCTTTTTACGTGTATGATTATTTATTATTTATTATTAATTTTATTTTCGTGTTTATGCCTCCACCTAGTGCTCCATTTTGCTGTACCGTGAAACACTCCAAACAAAGTACTCCCATATTTCCATGGGTGCTTCGATCTTCGCTCTCCTCAGTTTCAACAAAATCTTATAGAGATCAAGACCCATGTAAGCAAAATTTCCCTCTATTTTCTTGTTGAAGAGAAATGTTTCTTTGGTTTCCCCGAGCAGATAAACTCTTCATGTGTAATTTTTTTCTATCGACTCGTTCATTTCTTCAAGCGCAATCATCCTACGATCACCAGGCCTTCTTTATCTTAATGGGGTTTTGACTTGTGTTTCGCAACAAGTTCTTTGGACCCTTATTGGATGCTAAATTCTGGTTTCATTGGATTTTTTGTTAAAATTTTCAAAATTTCCCGGTGACGATTTGCAATCTACTTGTAGAGCAGAATACCTGCTCTTCGCGAGACTAGGTTCAATGGGTGTGGATTGGGATCTGTGTTGGATCTCTCGGTTTTTGTTTTGGTCTTTAGAATTATCATTGTTGAGTGATTTAATAAATGTTTAATGTTGGCTGATATTGGTTTCTGTGCTTCCTTCTCTTTTTTTTCTTTTTATTAAAAAAAAATAGTTTTTCCGCTCGCTCTGTCTGGAGGGTTAGTCGGATTTTTCCACATTCCTAGGGCTTGAAATGTTGGTTGTTTGAGGAGAGATTTCATGGGTTGAACTCGAAGAATAATGGATTGCTTCATCAGCGACGACGAAGAATGTCAATTTTACGATGCTCAAGAGGATGTTCTGTCCATTGCTGATGATAAATCCGATGGCAGCACTGACACACCCAACGGGATATCGAATTATTCTGAATATGAAGTGTGGACTCGGAGCCCGGGGAGTATTCAGGAGCGTCGCAGTAAGTTTATGAAGTGGATGGGGCTTAGTTCAGATCGAAGTGCCCATGAAAATTCAGTTGATAGCGGTAGAATTGAAGATAATAGTGGGGCTGTGACGAGAATCTCTGGTTTCGAGGATGAATTTTGTTCAAGTCGCTCTTCAATTGCTTGTTGGTCCTCTGAAAATTTATCAGAGGGGTGTGGCTTAGCATGGGATAAGAAAATGGGTGACAATAGAGGCATGGGTCCGGATAAGTTGGTTGTTTCAGAGGAGCCTGGTGATTCTACCAAAGTCTCTGGGGAACCCCCCTCTTTCCAACATTTGATGGGGAAGGAGTTTGAGGACACAAATGTTTTTGGCTGTAAGGTGAAAAGGGCCGGAGGGGGTTGGTTCAGGAGATTCCGTTCAATAACATGCATGATTGAGGGCCAAGTTGAAGGGGATAAGGGAAGACAAGAAGGCACTTCTGGATTCTCAGGGTTTAGGATTCAGAGGGTCAAGGTCCGTCAATTCAGGAAGCAAAAGAAGGAACTTTCAGCACTTTTCATGGGGCAAGATTTTCAAGCTCATGAAGGTTCAATTTCAACTATGAAATTTAGCCCTGACGGGCAGTATCTTGCCAGTGCTGGTAAAGATGGGATTGTAAGATTGTGGAACGTGGTGGAAGCTGAAAGATGTAATGACATCGACACTCCAGAACTTCATCCATCTTGCATATACTTCACAGTGAATAATCGCTCTGAATTGACGCCCCTATATATGGATAAGGAAAAACTGAGCAAAGGGAGAAGCCTGAGAAAAACATCAGATTCTGCTTGCATTATCCTGCCTCCCAAGGTCTTTCAATTGTTGGAGAGACCGTTGCATGAGTTCCATGGGCATGGAGGTGAAGTTTTGGATCTCTCTTGGTCAAACAACAATGTGAGTGAATATCGTTAATTTTCTTATTTTTTTGATTGAGGTGCCAAATTTGGTAAGCTTGAAATGTTGTGGAAATTGATTTGGTTCTTCATGTTTTTTGGTGCAGTATCTGCTGTCATCTTCAGTTGACAAAACAGTTCGTCTATGGAGAGTGGGTTATGATCATTGCCTGAAAGTTTTTCCGCACAATAACTATGGTGTGCAGTATTTCTATTCTGAAGACATAAACCTAATTTACTTATACCAGTCAAATTTGTCAAACAATTTGTTTGTTGTATTATGATGTCTTGCAGTGACATGCATTCAATTCAATCCCGTGGATGATAATCATTTCATTAGTGGATCTATAGATGGAAAAGTGCGCATTTGGGCAATTTCTGGTTGTCATGTTGTTGATTGGACTGATGTTAGAGAAATTGTGACTGCTGTGTGTTATCAACCTGATGGGCAGGTATCCTTTCTTTGCCAGTTATGTTCTGTTTAATTAAAGGCTTGATAGGATCTTACTTTAGAATCTGATGATTGATCTGTTTATAATGCAGGGAGGGATTATTGGCTCCATGACAGGCAATTGTCGGTTTTACAGTGTATCAGGTAAATCTTTTCTATATATGTATATTTTTACATTTTCCCTTGGAGACATGCTGTCATTTGGAAAATTTTATGTTCATCATATTCATTTAAGATTTTTACAATATTATTGCATCATTCTTGATGACTGATGTAAAAATGGTTTGGTGGGTCTACATCTTGCACGCACTTGGTTTCTAATTTAGTTTTGTTGAAATGCATTATCTATATGCACTCTAATTATGGTCATTGTAATCATGGTCTTCCTCTACCCTTCTTGATAGGACTCAAAGTCATAGTGGAACAGATGACTTTGAGTCCTGTCAAAAAGGGTAGAGGAAGATCAAAGAAACAACTTTGGAGGTTGTTGAGCGAGATTTTTTAATCAACAATATTCCTTAAAACTTAATAAATGATAGAGCACAATGGTGTCATATAATCCATGTAGCCGACCCTACCTAGTGGGATAAGACTTGTTGTTGTAATTGTACTATTTGTTAGATCAAACATATAGATTGAAGTTTGCAAATCTTGAAAACTAGATCCGCAATTGAGGTTAATAATTCATACTGGATGATAAAGGCCAGCAATTTCTTTCTTACATTAATGGTATGACTGATAGATTTGGGGTCTGGGTTGGCTTTGAGTTATCAATCTACTAAAAGAAGGCCAATTTTAATTCAATGTTGCTATTAGAAATTTAACTTCCTTCAGTCAATTTGCTTTCCAAAGTTTTTTTCGTTGTATAATCAAAATATAGCAGTTTTATTTATGGTGGATATTAGACAAACTTATTAAAGTAGTTTTGATGAGGAAGGGGCAAAATTCTGTATGCCTGAAAATCTTAAACAAGTTATAAGGGGAACTAGATGTACTTGACTGCCATTTTAACTTATGCAATTACCTAAAGACTGAACACTGTTTAAAGGGTAAGTTTGCGCCGCTCTGCTTATTTTCACTTTTGTTTGAGTCAGAGAATCACTTGCAGTTGGATTCCCAACTATGCTTACTTAATAAGAAGAAACTTCCTGGCAGAGGGATAACGGGCTTTCAGGTACTTGTTCTTGTGCCTCTTGTGCCATGATAATCCTTTTGGTTTCTCCAGTGTATTTCGTGATTTTCTTTAAACAGAACTTACTATTCTTTGGTTGGCTGATTATATTATGTTATCTATTTTAGTTTCTTCCACATGATTCTAGTAAAGTCATGGTTACCTGTGCTGATTCACAAGTCAGAATCCTTGACGGGCCTAATGTGATTGGCAAATACAAAGGTATATTCCTTTGTCTGGTTCCTACATTTATTGAGAATGTTCCACTGGCTCCTTGCTAATCCATGAAATGTTTGAGGATTAGTGAATCAGTTTGTATAATGACTTGTATGTTCAATCTCCGCTGCTACTTGTGTAGGCTAACTTAAATGCTAAAAAAATGGTAGTTTGGAAGCCTTATGAGGCTTAACTGTTGTTTTAGTTATTTATGTGTAGCTCATCTAGTGTGTGCTGTTACTGATAGAGCTCTGCTCTATATTAATTACTTTCAACAGAACTTAAATGCAAGAAGGAAATAAATGAGGGAAATTCTGAGGTTTTTGATATTAAGACTTAGAAACCGAATCAGTGTTACAAAAGAGAAGCTCACTGATTCTGGTCAAAACCCTATTCCCTATGGATGAAAATTACAACAAAAGAAATAACACAGCAATAAGAACACAGCCTCTCACTAGTGTTTGAGAGACTAGCACTCTCCTTCCTTCTGACTAGCTTAACACAACATTCTCGAGTGCTCCCCAAAACAGCAACAACAAAGTAAGAAAGCAAAAAGGTGACCCACGTATCCAGACTGAATCTAAGCCACCTAAATACATCATGACTTAATCCTTAATTTCTGGACCCTAAGGATATTAACTTTGATCCATTGGGTATTTCTTTTCTACACCCGCCTGCCCCCTAGATCTCCTCTTATCAGTCTGACCATATCTCAAGGTTACATCAGTTACTAAGTTCATCTATTTTTTTCTCAGGTCTCAGTGCAGGGAATCATATGTCCGCAACTCTTACTTCAGATGGGAAACATATTTTATCCGCATGTGAGGATTCTAATGTATATCTTTGGAACGTTAGTCAAGAACAATCTAGTCCCAAAAAATCCAAGAAGATAAGGTCTTGCGAGCGGTTCTTTTCAGATGCTTCCATTGCAGTGCCTTGGTGTGGTTTGAAATCTCAACATCATCCAAGTGAACACCAGCTGAATGTTTCAGATCAGAGATCATCTCAAACTGTATGTCCCAATCCACCTGTTTCTTTCTCTTTGGGCCAAGAGTTTTTCTCCGAGTCTCCTAGGGGATCCGCAACTTGGCCTGAGGAAAAGCTTTATTCCTCGAGCCACAGGCCTGGAAAATCTGCAATGCATAAATCTGATTACAAGTTCTTGAAAGCTTCTTGCCAGAGTACCTCCAGTGCTCATTCATGGGGTCTCGTCATTGTCACTGCAGGGTGGGATGGGCGGATAAAATCATTCCACAATTATGGGCTGCCTGTTATCATTTGAAACTAGTGGCCTTTTCCCATGTTGGAAAGAGAATCAAGATTTGTTGCTTTGCTTGAGGCACATTGCCCTCGGCAAATTACATGCTGCTACAGTCCCCAGGGCGGAGATTGATGTTTAACTGATAAGCTTGGCAGCACCAGTAACAAATCAGCTTTTTGAGGGGCCTCTTTTGGATTTCAGGGAAATAACATCACCTATTGCATCAGGACATGTGGCGGTGGTTCCGTGGTTCTAACGTGAACCTGCTTGGAATCATACAGCCATTTTCCGAGCTTTAGCTTGTCTCGATCCAGATCAAATTTCCATTTGTAGAACTAGAATCTTCTGGCCCCAAAAAAGTGATGCAAAGTCATGTGGTAAAACCTTTACGGGAGAGACCCATGTGGGATATATCTATCATTCTGTCTATGGAGGAACAGATTCAGGAACTGGTGGCCGAAGTTCAGTTAGAGGGAAAATGGTGGGGAAGCTAAGGATTTGTATAATTGGCTGGTTCCAACTGATTAGATCTCTTTGTCTGCCAATCTCAAGTCCTTCTCATGGTGGGGCTAGATATTATGTACACAGAATTATAAGTGGAGGTGTGGATGATTGCGACGGCCATTTCTGCTTCGTTAAGTGCTTTTTGCACTTCAGATGCAAGCATGAGCAACCAAACTAATTTCAGTTCTGTTTTTTTCAAAGTAGTTCTTCTAACAATATCATTGCTAGCTAAAATTTAGTTTATCATCTGTGTTAGGCTGACACAACATTTGTTTAGTTACCTGGATCTTGTATTGCTGTTTCAGTCCGATAGGAAAATGCCATTTTGATGTTGGCATATATGGAAAATTTGTAATTTACTTGTGTAAATTAAAAAAAAAAAAGAAGAAATGGCCCAACCTCTGGGTGATGAGGTTTATGACTTGTAGCAAGTTTATACACGATATAAACAATAGTTCCTTCCTTTCCAGAAAGAACAACAATGAGAATAAAGATACTTTTGATATCGTCACACGTTAGTGATAGTGACATATTGCGATACATGGTTTTATTTTGTACTTTTATTCCCCACTCATGTTCTTCGAGTTCATGATTCACCCAGTTAAGGAAAACAAACCGTTGGCTCTGGAAGGAGATCCGGAGTGGCAAGATGTAGTCAACAAATTGTACTTTATCACTCATTTTAAAAATAAAAAAAGTGAAGCGTGATTTATTTAATTGCTTTGCGTACGGCATTTTTATTAGACAGAATAATATTAATCATGAAATCTACTCTCGCAGTCTCGCTGAAAACAGCTCTATCTATAATTCTGTTTTGGGTTCCATGGTCTTATATGGCTGATCTCAGAATGGCCTCGTGTGAGTTTCTTTTCTCTTTTGATGTATTTTTTTAATTTCCCTTGTTGATAGATTTCAGTTTCCACTCCAAAAAGGGGGGGGGGGGGCTCTCGTGAGCTTTCAATTTCAACTGAGTCTCTGTTAATAACAATGCAGCTTGGAAAAATAAAATAAAAGGCCAAACCACTGAGAGAGAGAGAGAGAGGAAGAGGAACACATAAGCAAGTGAAAAGGAAAATAAATTTTGATGGTGCGTCTGGTCTTAATCATTCACATAACGCCATGAATAATTTATGCAGAAAACTCAATAAGAAATTTATTAAGAAGGAAAGAACTTTGCAGAAGAAACAAAAGAGGGAAGACATGAACAGGAAAAGCAAATTAAGGAGCACATGATAATGAATATTGCTGAGGCATCTGCATATGGGAGGCTTCAAAAGAGAAGGAATCAAGCAGACAAACTTGCAACAAAACCACTGATTTTTGAGTTAGTCTTTGCTGTAATCTCACTCAACCTCCTCTTCCCTTGTACCTTTTTTTTATTTTAATTGTTTGTTGAATATTGACAAATCCAGTATATATGATTTGCCTCCCTGACCCATTAATTTCTGACACAAAACCATGTAACCATTTTGTTTAATTCCTGAACATCTGATGAATGCTTTGCAATACTATTTTAAAGTGACTTAGTCAGTTTGATGTTTTTGTTTTATAAAACCGAATCATTTAAGTGCAATGTATTTCTAATCCCCAGTTTTTCCATTTACAAGATTGTGTGCAGATTGGACAAGACTGAGTTATTTGAATTTGAATATTTAAAATGGAAAAATTGCAAAATGAATCTGAAATGAGAGAGAGAAATTTATAAAATAAATTAAAATAAAGTAAGTCTGTCACATGTCTTCATTTAACAATTTTTTCTTTTGTTTTGAAAATATTCCATGCATTTATTATTTACATTTTTTAATCCTTTGAAATTTTACAAAGTAAAATTACATCATTTTATTATTTCTCAGGCAAAAAAAAAAAAAAGTATTCGTTTTATGGGCCTCATAACCCAATATTATGCTTTTCAAACACTATGCAATTTTTGGTTGTTAAGACCCGGGAAAGTGTGTCGTCCTAATTGGGCTTGTATTCTTATTTAGCCCGACAATCCCTGTCGGCTTTTCCTACGCCCATATCAATTTTGGGAAACAAAAGTTGCAATTGCTTTACCAAAAAAAAAAAAAGTATATATATATAGCATTATATTATAAGTTAAAATACACATGACTTCCCTTAATTTAAATCATTTTTAAAAGTTTAAATTACATTATAATATTGGCTAAAGTACATATCAAACTATATATTTTACAGTTAATTATTTATTACAATATTAGCATATAGGCAACATATTTGTACTAATTATTTTATTAAAAACTAAACATAAAATGACATGGAAGAATGCAGATATATTTCTTTCCGTCCAAACAATTTTAGTTTTGTAGCGTGCAAATTTTTCAAATTTCCAATCATATATATATATATATATATTCTATATAAGTATCATCTCATCTGACTGTAATATATAAAATGGACGACTAAAATCTTAATGAGAAAGACTTTTCTTAACCATAAAAAATGCATTATTTTTCAAAATACAAGAGCCATAATTAAACCATGCAATAGAAGATACGGTGTATATACAGTATAACAACAACAACAACTGGAAGAATAATAAATGTATAGTACCCTGTACAGCGTAATGGCTTCAGAGTGCCACGAATCATGCCACGTAAAATATCTATCCGCGGATAAGCCGCAAGCGACAATGGCCGAAGCTGATCGATACAGTTATACAGATAAAGAAGAAGCTAGCTTCTTCCTCTGGAGCAATGGCCAACCTTTCAATTCCACTCCCTCGAAACGCTTTTTCTGTCCGCTCTTCCTCCCCCAAACGTTCCATTCTAGCTACTTCTGCACTCCACTTCTCCATCGCCGCCCGTTTCTCTGGTCTGTTCATTTCATGTATTTCTCGAATTTGGTTCATTATTAATGGAATTTTGTTCAGTTTCTGAAGATCTGCTTCCTCATGTTTCCCTAACGTAGTTTCTGGGTTGATTAGGTGGGTCTGATGATGTTTCTGAGACTAAGGAAGGATTACTTGCTTTCAACAATATCAAGGGCGTGACCTGTGGTGTTCTTGCCGCTTGGACTGTGACTACTGCTGCTGCTTTTCCCGTCATTGCTGCTAGCCAGGTTCGCAGCTTAAACTGGCGTTCAATTTGAATAGTGATAGCAAACTCAGTTGTGCAATTTTCTGTCAGACTTTAGAGCGTTTTTTCTTTTATCCCCTTTCCCCCCAAGTTTTGATCAAGAAGGTTGACGGGTATATCTAATCTCTGTCAATAACATAATGCAATATTATCTTCCATCAGTCTTTCCCCATCCCGTGCAATGTTGATGGGAGATCATTGTTAGATTTCTCTTGACCCTGCATGCAGACTGGCTGGTGATCAGTGAATTTCTAGATTTGTTGCTCTTTACAGTTTTACACCTCATATTTTATAAGAATTCGGAGTTGGTCCTCTTCCGTGTTCCATTTGCCTTGTTAGATTATATATTTGTGTTAAAATTTGGTCAGTTACTGTCCTTTCTAAAAACTTGTTTTGGTCCTTCAGGCATGACTTATGGATAGCAGGGCTTTCTATAAATTTTGTGTGTGTGTGTGTGTGTGTGGGGAATATTTATATTGATTTAGTCCCTCACAGATTCTCTTTATCAAAATAGCGTGTCGCAAATGAAATCAGTATCAATATCCTGTGTGCCGGCCATTTAAAGCGTATAAAACTCTGATGTGGACCATTGAATGGTAATATGGCAACATGAAATGAGATGTTCGCCTGCTAAACCCCCTGGTCTCTCTCTATCTCTCTCTCTCTCACTCACGCACTAATGAAGCTAATTTCGTACACTAATTTAGCATAATAGAGACATAAGATGGAAAGTAAAAACTCACACCACTAGCCTTTTACTTCTAGGATCAATAATATTCAACCTAACGGACCTGAAAGAAATTTGGACTTTCTTGGTCTGGTCTTTCATAAATTATTGATCTCAAAATTGAAAATTGTTTCTGACATACCATTATTATTTTGGTCTCTCAGTGTGCTGGCTAATGTAAAGTGTAAACTTAAAAACTAAATAAAAAGTGTGACGCAGACCATTTGTTTGCAGTTTGCGCTCTAATTTTAGTCTCTATATTGTCCTGGACATCTGAATAGATATGAAGTTTAGTATCACCTTGTATACTTTTGCAGATATAACCTCATTGTTAAAGTTTATATTTGCCATTAAGGCCATATCTATGTCTCTTGTCCATGTTCATAATTACATTTTTTTTTTTTGGAATAAGACCTGTGATGATGCCACTCCCAAAAACGTACCATCTCAACTGTAGATGTTATGAATGTATAATTGTGAGAATTAGAAATGATTTACACCTATCTTCAAAAGAAGTAGATGCATGGAGAATACAATCCCCTTTATGTTTTCCTTGCAGAGGCTACCTCCATTGTCAACAGAACCCAATCGTTGTGAGCGTGCATTTGTAGGTAACACGATTGGTCAGGCAAATGGAGTTTATGACAAACCGTTAGATCTTCGGCTCTGTGATTATACTAATGAAAAAACCAACTTGAAGGGGAAGTCTCTGTCTGCGGCACTCATGGCAAATGCAAAGTTTGATGGTGCAGACATGTCAGAAGTTGTGATGTCAAAGGCTTATGCTGTCGGTGCTAGCTTCAAAGGTAACAAGTTAACTTGGTTAATCTATTATGAATTTGTGATCTTTAATAGCCTTCTACTAGTTAGAATTGTAGGTTTGTGAGTTTAAATATACAAGAAGGAGTACTTTTTAAAAGCTCATCATTCAAAAACTTTAGGGTATATCAAAGGTTATTATTTGAGAAAACCAAACATTTTGGCTTGTAGCAAGTGAATTTCGACCCTGAAAGGTGAGGTTCAGTGTGATTAAAGAATGGGAAGAAATTTCATGCAGAATAGAATTAAGATGACAATAGAGTATATCAGTGAACATGATCTGTAAATCTAATGGTATAAGGAGTTGGGTTAAGAGGCAATATCAAGTCCAATCATATATTTGTTTTCAAATGTCTAACTATGAACGTTAAATAATGATCTTCAGATTTTACCTTTTACGTAACAACCATGGCTGCTTGGTTAAAAGGTGACCAGAGGATTTTCGTATCGAACTGTTGATCCCTAATGCCTATGACCTTGTTCTTTTGCAGGAGTGGATTTCTCAAATGCAGTACTGGACCGTGTGAACTTTGGGAAAGCTAATCTCCAAGGAGCTGTGTTCAAGAACGCAGTATTGTCAGGGTCCACATTTGATGAAGCAAAGTTGGAAGATGCAGTATTTGAGGACACTATTATAGGTTATATTGATCTCCAGAAGCTATGCACAAACAATACTATTAGTGATGAAGGGAGAGCTTATCTGGGATGTAGGTGAACTGAATAGACGAGGGCTATATCTTAAACGAATCGGCATTTGATCTGTGCTCTTCCTTTTATAATTAATAATGTATCCTCTCATCCAATTCCTTTACTGATAAATTGTAGGCAGTGGTATTGGTATATCTAATTGTATCATTTGTTGGTAACCTTTTGCCCACTCTCCCAGTTTCCGCCAGTAGCTCCAACAGATAGCGCTCGGATGAGTAATCAACTTGAGGTTTGTTGATCAGGATAGAAAATTCTATTTTATGGGCAAAGCTTACCAGCCAGCGCATCTGGTGTAGTGGCATCATAGTACCCTCCCACGGTACTGACCGGGGTTCGATTCCCGGATGGGCATGTCTGGATTTTTATCATGGTCATCAATTATTTCACACGCACTTGTCATTTGTAGAGCCGTCAATAAAAATTGAGTCATTTTTTTTTTAAGCTTGAAAAAATTAAAAGCTAAACCTTTACTTTAAGGTATAAAATAATAAATTAGATTTAAAATAGCTGACTTTTTTAAGCTCAAAAATAAAAAAGTAGGTTCTTGAGGGTGACGGTTAGCCTTTTTATATTTTTTAAAAATTCAATATAAAAAATTAAACACTACACTACAAGAAAACCCTAGCCATTAATGAGGCTTTGCAAGAAGAATGATTAAATTATATTAATGTTAAAAATTATCAACATTCAGTTAATGATACTAGTAAAGTTTAATTGCTACAAGTGGTTAATTTTGACATATAGCCTTGTTTTTATTAGATTAAAATTTGTTATTGTGTGAGTTGATTTAAATTTATTTTTTTAAACTTAATGCTATGTGTAATATATTTTTTAAAATTTTAAATATATTTTTTATATTTTTAATTTGAAAAATGAAACAAGAATAGAGCCGAGGACCTTAAGGTTAGTCCTCCAGCCTTATCTAAGGGCCAAGGTTGGACTATGCTAAATATATCTTTGAGATATGATTAAACTTAAAAAAACTAACTTGTTTAGTCCTTAACTTTTTAATGGCTGATCTTAATTGACAATTTTAACTATTAAATTTAAGGATATTTATTAGATGAACAAAAGGTCAAGTGGACATTTATTAGATCAAAACCCTATTTCCATGCTCATAAAAAAAATTGGAGAATTTCGTTAAATATATGAGGGTTATATTTCAAATCAGATCAATAAAATCTAAAAAATACACCACAAGACTAATGCACTCTTTAAAACCATAATAACTTATTAAAAAATTTATTGGTCATATAACATATTTTCAGATTATATTAATGTTGATTTAAAATTAAACACGGTATTTTATTAAAATCCCAATTTTTTATACAATTTGACAACAATGTGAAGGCTAAATTATTTAAGTTTAAATTTTACCACGGACAACTTTAAGAGCACATATGTCTCGAGCCAATCAACTCTTATCAAAATATGGTCTATAAAAATAAAATTGTATAAAAGGAAATCTAAAAAAAAAAAAACCGTACGAAAGTCAAATTTGTCTGCAATTGTCCCTTCCTTTTTTCTGAATCAATCGTCCCCTATTGGAGAGAGGTCTCTATTGCCTTGTTCTCTTTTTCCTTCCCCTTCTTAATCATGATCAGTGATATCATTTTATTAAATAAATTGTTTTTAATCATAGGATTTATAAATGACCATGATCGAGAAAGTGGTGAATAAGGAAATGGAGAGACCTGTCCCCCAAATTTAATAAAACTCTGACTATATAAAGTTGGTAAAATATTTTTCTTTCCCATCTGAACAATATTTCTTTTCCCTTTCATCTCTGTCCTCGTTTTCCTCGTCCAACCATGCCAAGCACAAGCACCGACTGAATTTTCGTTTGCAAATATTCATTTTTATTTTCGAGTAATGCAATGGCAGATTTTTATTTTCAACTAATTCCTACAATGTTGAACCCATCATCAACTGGCAAGCATGACACTTGCCCTTCATTTTCATAATTTTTTGAAATGTTTGTGATGTAGAAGCACATGTATTGTGCCGTTTTTTTATACCCACTTCAAATTCAAAACATAAACAGTTTTTTTAAAAAAATTTACATATCAATAAAGTTTTCATTCTCAATATTATTTTTTATCCCTAATTTCAATTATTAGTGTGCTTTATGATGAGTTAAAAATGTATTTATATAAATATATAAATTAATAAGTACAATGAATAAAATGTTACTTTTTTTACAAATTATTTATAGTTTGAATTAAAATTAATTGAAAAGAAATGTTTATATTTTAGAGAGGGGAAGAAAGTGAATTAATTTTGAACTGCCGTTAAAATAAAACCATGTGGTTTGTATGATTAGTTGTTATTTATTAATAACCAATAACAAAGTTAAAATTCTTTGTGAGGCATTTGGGGAACAAAATCTGCCCCTTCATTTAAAATAAAGTGGCATGCGATCCCATCATGACAACTACAAGCCAGCCAAAGATCATAACTCGCTGATCCAGTGGGATGAGTGGACATTTAATACATGCACAGTTGCACTTGCAGTGCCTAAATTGATTCAGATCATGCAAGCTTTTTTTAATCCTTTTCTTTTATAATGTAAACTGACGAGACGATATACGATAATACAACTAATGATCTATATCTCATATTTTCTTTAAATAATTCATAGGCCTAAATTAAATATTGTAATTATTTTCATTTCGTTCATCAACTGAAATTAAACTAATATATTATTAAATTTAATGTTGAAATCCGAATGAATTAAGATAAGGAAAAATTTGAATTATTTTAAAATCTAAAATAATAGAATAAATTGTTTCTAAATTAGGATAAATGAATTGAAACTTGTAAAATTAGAAAAATGAAAATAAGAAAAAAAAAACTAGATTTCATCAACAAATGTCTATTTTCAGGATTTGACTGCATATTTTAGGATGCATACTTTGGGATCTGATGTGAAGTAATTTCCTTCACTGTCCATGCATTAATAAGGCAGCTCCAAGAAGGCACACTTCTACTTATGTTTTTATTCATTAATTTATTGTTGAGTTTTTAATTAAATTATACTAAATATAAATTCTCTGATAACATGCCAAATGATTAATTTAGTCAGAGAATATACAGTTAGCCAGTTCTAAAAACCAAATCCATTTTGTGTCATAGAACAATTCAAATTGTAACTGTTACCAATAGATACTAATTTCTTTCTATTTTCCCACATGTATAAGCAATGTGAGTTATTGAAGAACACATCAGAGTTAAAGTTTAGACGCTATTGTATAAACAATTGGATGCGGTGAAACAGGCTTTTGTCTTTATGTAGGGATGAAGAGTGGGAAGCGTTCGGAGTGCTGTACCCGCAATCTATTAACCTAATCAACGATAATGCTTTATTGACTTCCATTCCATTTTTTGGTTGTTGGGCTTGAACCAACTTTTAGCTGCCATTCCATCAATACCTACAATTCCTTTCAGTTTTTAGACTCTTTAAACTGACTGTCAAATGTCAACCTTTCATAACCCACTATTCTGTTCTTTCATCATTTCCGATTATTAATTAACAATGCCCTTTTGATTACCTAAAATACCCTAATTAACTAATGCTTCAAGTTTAAAACCTGAGGTTTCTAAAGTCATTTAGGCTAGTCCAGCCTTTTGGCCCTCGGCTCAAATTGTAATCCCCATAGGACATGCTTCCAGTTACACCAGAAAGGAGGTACTTCAGCTTTAGTTTGGTGGCCCTTCGAGCTTTGGCTTTTGTGCAACCTGCACTTCCTAGTTATTATATATATCAAGGAACTATGGGATATGGAATTGTTATATGTGCAGTATTGCTAGATTCGCTCAGAGTTTTTTTTTTTTTTTTGGTGGGGGGGGTTGTTGAGGAAGAAGGTCCAAGACACAAGAGATGAAAGTTCCCCTTTTTAAAGTTTCTTGCTCAAATGAGTATTCCAACCAGTTGCAGTTTGCATCAGGTCAGTACATGCCATGGTGTTTCTGAATCTGAGATGCTCACTTGAGCAAGCAATCTTAGAAAGAGGGAGGTTGTTGTTGCCGCCACTTTTTATGCTATTCAAGCTTTGATCATTTGTCAGATAAGTTCCCAAATCTCTCATCATCTTTTTCATTTTTTGGGTGTACCTGCCCATCGTCATATGGAATCCCTCACTTTCTTTCACAGCTACAATGTCTTAAAACCAAGCTGTCATTATAATTCAAAGCATGCTAGGTACATTTTTAAGATTCTATATAAACATAGACTGAGACCGGTACTGACCGTTTTGCTTTGTTCTCTCCTTTTCTTTCCGCCCTTTTTTTTCCAATGAAAGTTTAGGAAAATGATCGATAGTGTCTTTCTTTTCTTTTCTTTTCTTTTTTTTTTTTTGCCAGTCAACAATAGAATGCCAGGAACACAGTAAAAGCTTACCAGCATCTTTCAGCAGGATCAAGAATTTATTGAAAAAAGTAAAGTTATGCGAAGAAAATTTGCTGACGCCAAAAGAAAAGAATATGTAAGGAAAGAGGAAAAAAGAATGGACAGAAAATTCTGATGCACCGTTCCTCGTTTTGTAGTTACCGACAGGGCAATGCTTCTAGTTAAAATTTTAAAACGAAGCCAAGAATGGTGCCATTTTTCGCACCACCGAAAGTGCAGTAAAACCCTCAGAAGCATTAGAGCTTAACACATACAGAGATGAGAGAACACACATCACGAAATCTAAAATGCGCATTGACAATCTACAGAGTTTAGTCCATAAGCATACAAATAAGTTGACAGGCAAATCTATCAAACCGTACCTGATTTGAGCGGACTTCGTCGACACGTTGGGGTTGAAGTGCAGCAACATGACTGTCTTCTTGGCAGAATACATCAGATTTCTGTTTTTTTTTTTTAATATTATTTTATGAATTAGAGTTTCAAAGACGAAGGTTTGTAATAATGCCTTACCCATGGGGGGAAGGAAAGGTTGTTCCTGTCCGGCCAACTGAAAGTCATATCTGACCTGTGTACTTTCGTATTATTTAGGATCTGATAGAACTAGCAGTGAACTCATAAACATTGATCCAGCTGGCATAGATGATTATGGCTTATGCTAATAATGATTATAAAATAAAAAGTAGATTCAAAGCCCAAGGAGCAAAGCTAGGCATGGCAATTCAAGTCACTTAAGCAAGCACAAATAGGAAGCTTTCTCACCCAAAGAAGATCCTTAACAGCAAGAATTCCCCCTCGTCACAAAGCAAGGAATCTCAGGATTACTTCAACAATGGCATCCTCGAATTTACCACCATTCATCATCTTCAACACCAACAGCCATGGAGAAGGCTGCTGGAGCATCCTTTGCTTCTATACTCAAAGGATATATACTCGTACTTTCGTTGTCTCTCATCCAAGGTATGCATAATGCACAGTAATTTCCCTTGTATCTAGAATTGTAGAGAATTGTAGCTTCTATCCAAAATATAAAATCCGGTGATCCATTATTCTCAGGAATACAAGGAATTGGAGTTAACTACGGCACTGTAGCAAATAATCTTCCACCACCATCTCAAGTTGCAAAGTTCCTGTCAGAATCCACCATCATCAACCGTGTGAGACTCTTCGATGCTAACCCAGAAATTTTACGAGCATTTGCTCATACGGGGATTGAAATTTCCATTACAGTCCCTAATGATCAAATCCCCCACCTTACTAACCTAACATTTGCCCAACAATGGCTGAACACCAGTGTGCAACCTTTCGTCGCCGATACCAACCTCATCCGAATCCTAGTAGGCAACGAAGTCATATCCACGGCAAACAAACTCCTAATCAGCAACCTCGTCCCTGCCATGCAAACTCTTCACACAGCCCTCATCGAATACTCCCTAGACCACCGCATCAAAATATCGACGCCGAACTCGTTAGGCATATTGTCGAACTCGAGCCCACCTTCCACAAGTAGGTTCCGTCAAGGCTACGACGCCCATGTGATTAAACCGATGCTTAGTTTTCTCGAGGCCACCAATTCCCCCTTCATGGTTAACCCTTACCCGTTCTTCGGTTGCACCGCCGAAACCCTTGATTACGCACTTTTCCGGCCGAACACCGGCGTGGTAGATCAAAATACTGGGCTTAGATACACGAACATGCTAGATGCTCAGCTCGATGCTGTTTACTCGGCCATGAAGGTTTTGGGCTTTGAGAACCTCGATATTATTATTACAGAAACGGGTTGGCCCACACTGGGTGAGGCCGAACAAGTTGGTGTGGACCCAAATTCTGCTGCTGAGTTTAACGGCAATCTCATTCGCCACGTGTCTTCTGGTACCGGAACGCCTCTCATGCCAAACCGAACATTCGATACGTACATTTTTGCGCTTTTTGATGAAAATCTTAAAGCAGGTCCAATTTGTGAGAGAAACTTTGGGCTCTTTAGGCCCAATATGACTCCCGCCTACGACGTCGGACTTATCAAGAATACGGTACGGGTGGAGGCCGCGACAGACGCTTCTTACAGAGTGTTTTTGCTAAACGTGGTTCTTTTGAACTTGATAGGTTTGTGGGCTTGAATCAGGCAAGTTTCATTTTGCAATGGGCCCATATGGAGGCCCATTATCTGTCCCCAAAAACAGAGGTTGACCCAGAAGCGGGAAAAACGCACATAGGTTTTGTCTGTGGTCTGGGCTTAGAATATGGGCGGGGTCAAAGGTGGTGCGGACTTGCTTCGCTCCGGATACTTTCAGATCTCGTGAATCATGAGGCGTGTGCCGCGAATGCTTACTGTCAGAAGAGTGAACGAATGGGGTTGTGATTTTGAACATGTTGGACCCATCAATCACCACCGTCGATCCAAGCGAGTGTTACAATTAATTTGGTGGTATTTAAAGATTTTTTTTCCCTGTAATTGTAAATATTATTAAGCAGGCTGTTGATATAGAAATGATAGGATAATGAAAGTGAACATGCCTGTAACTTTGCAAGATTTAAAAATTGACTTTTTTTTAAAAGAATTATAATTAAGTCTCATATAAAAAAATTAATTATTACAAAATTTATTGACAATTGAACTAAATTATATTGATAATTAGTTGTGTTGTTAATACAATTTAATTTAATTATAATGAATTTTATAATAATTAATTTTTTTTTGTGAGATTTCAATACAATTCTTTCAATTTTTTTTTCTCTGTTTTTTTTTTTTCACTTACAATCAAACGAAACGATGGAGGAAAAATAAATCACGTCATCATTAACAGAGGCACAACAACGAAATCTCCTACGCGATAAAAATTAACTAAGCGATATTGCGTTTAAAAAGGGAAGCGAACCCAACGATGAATCTCTTGTTTTTGGCTCCCCTACAAGGCGGCAATCTTTGCATGTACTCCCAGAATTAGAATGAAAAAACTTCGCCCATAATAAAAAATAAAAATAAAAAAATTTAGGCAATGTAATAAAATCCACCTCCCGAAGATGCGCTGACAGAGACACTAAAAGAAAATGAAAAATTTTTATATACGCGGCTGAACATTTTTGAAAATTACTTACTTGTGATATCCTTCCTTCGCATGCCCATGTGTTTATCAAATCTTCAATAGCAAGTCAAGATTATTAAGTTTATCGAGTTTTACTTTAAAAAAAAATCAATTAACATTATTTTTGTTAGACACACAAGCGATTATGGCATCTACAAAGACTGCTTTTTCAATTTTCATTCCATCATAGAAAAGAAACATAGCCAGTAATACAAACACCAAAGCTCTATAATAAAAATAAGATAAGCAGGAGCAAACAAACAAAACACTATACGAGCAGAAAAAGAACAGACACACAACGTTAGACATGGGGAGAGACACAATACACATGTCTCAACCAATACCTGATCAAGACCAACATTTCTTGTGCACCCCATTTGAAGGAGTACAGATCGAGAAAGATAGCAGATAGAGAGGGTGGGCTTCACTTCTGATAACGTGAGCTAGAAAATGACCCCCGTGCGTGTGTAAATCACCCCTAATTATGAAATATTTATTGAAATAATTATATCCCCAATTTTAACTATCTAATTATTTGAGGAACGGATCAATAAAGTTATATATTGCTCTTAAAACTTTAGAAGAATTATTATATCATTTCTAACCTAAATATACACAGACGACCAATTAAATTTGTTTTTCTGATACGACGACCTCATTTAAGAAGTCTAGATGATTAAGTTAAACCCTACCGAGTCAAACCCTAACCTCACACTTATTTGACAAAATCTAATGAAGTCCAAGCAAAATTTAGACTTTAGAGGCACCGTTGGCATATATAGCTAATAATTTGGAGACGTAGAGAATAAACTCACAAAAATAATAATGGCAACTATGGACCTGCCCTAACTTCCATTCCAAACCGTCAATAACCGCTTTTCCCTCCCCTCTCTGCTTCCCCTGCCCTCCCCCTCCCTTTCCCTTTCTTTCTCTCTCTCTCTCTCTCTCTCTCTCCCTCTATCTCTATCTCTCCCCCGAGAAGCACCGATATACTGCACCTGATACGACATGAACATCATCATCTCACCCTAATATATATATATATATATATATATATCTCTACATATTTAATGCTCTAATGCAGTAGTTGAAACGTTGTGTCGTATCTTAAAAACAAAATAATCGGTGCTTCCTGATAAAGATGAAAAAGGTGGTGGTTTACGCCGTCATGGCCACCGCCTTCCTCTTCTTTTTCATCGTCCTTTCCCCTTTGATCCAAGACCAACGCAGAGGGCCCGGTCTGAACCGTCGGTTCGGGTACAATATCCGAGAGCGAGGGGTAAGCTTCGACCCCCTCGAGAACCGGATTAATAGCGAGAGATCAGAGACTCGTGATGATGGGAAGAAATTAGCAGCAGCAGGCAGTTTTATGGATGCCAAAAATATGAACACGGATGTGGATTCGAACACCACGTTGTTCAATGAGGTAATGGAGACGTATCAGTATCTGACGGCAGGTGGGAAATTGAACACCACCATGAGGCTCACCATTTTGTTCCCTTTGTTAGATAGAGACCCTAAGGATTATTTGATTAGTTTCAATGAGTTAGAGGCTTGGATTCTTCAACAGTCACTGGATAGGTTGAATTATATGACCTCCAATGAGTTGAACTCCAAGGACAAGAATGGCGACTCTGCTATTTCTTTCCGGGAATATCTTCCCCAGTTTTCTGACTCCGACTTAGGTACGTACGTAATTCACTTAGCTTGTTCGTGAGCTTGCTTCTGTGAAACATTACTTTAACATTAAACTTGTGAAACAGAGAAAAAAGGGATGGGACATGGAGAAGCAGGGTGGTGGCAAGAGCGATTGGATATGGCCGACCTGGATCACAATGGCCTGCTTAACTTCAGCGAGCTTAAAGAGTACGTAATAACACGAACACACATATAATTTTATTTTTATTTTTTTTAGTTTTCACTATTGTTTGGTGATAAGAAATATATTTATATATGCTTAGTGAAGTAGTGTTGGGTTGTTGCATGCAGCTTCTTGCACCCAGAAGACAGCAAGAACGAAGAAATGCAGAAATGGCTATTGAGAGATAGAATGAAGTAAGAGAGCGATGATGTTTATATTGGAGTCATTAGCTGAGGGAGCTAATTAATTAGGATTAAGTTGAGATTAATTATGATGTGCAGGAGAATGGATTATGATAATGATGGGAAACTGAATTTCAAGGAGTTTGAAGACCATGTGTATAGTACCTACGTGAGTTACATGGAATTTGAAACTGCAGGAAAGAATGTCCCTCAAGCACACCAGAAGTTTCATGAGCTTGATGTCAACAAGGACAAGTACTGTGCCTTGCCTTTTCTTCTTTTTGTTCTTCGGGCCTTCCATTACAAAAGGACACAAGTTTTTTAGTAACAACATATTGTGTCGTTATTAATTTTCTTAAAAACTGAATAAATTTTTTCAGGTAAAAAAACATGTATTACTATGAGTTTTTTAAATAATTAAGTGTGTTTCACTTTTGTTATATAAATTGCATCATGAATTCTTATAAATTTGTTATTTTATATTAGTTTTGATTATACTGGTTGATAGTTGATTGCATTGAGAATGGTAACTCTACAATGTTGTCTTTTTTTAACTTCTAATTGTAATTAATACATATAGATATTACTGTGAGAATTTTTTTGAAAAACTATTTTTTAAATAATAATTTTTTTTCACGTGTTTCCATAGTAATTATTTCTTTCAATATAGTCTCTCAATTTTCCTGATTTGTTCCATTTTATTTCAATTTCTCTCAAAATATTAAGGATGTGTGGTGCGTGATTCAGTTTAAAGAAAAAAGTCTTTGCCCTTCAATCTGATATAATTAACCAAGAAAATTCTTGGCAGTTTTTTGTCAGTAGAGGAACTGATGCCCATACTTCAATACCTCTACCCTGGAGAGTTAGCTTACGCCAGATTTTACACAATATATCTCATCAATGAGGTTAGCTATCTATTTCGCTCTCTTTATTTTTGTTATTTAATTTCATTGATTTAAAAAAAAAACAAATAGAACATTCAAGTTTTTTATTTTCATTGAATAAAACTACAAAAGTTTCCCCTATTTCCAGGACTTACAGAAAGATCCGCTATTTTTTTTAAATATATATACATAAGCATCGTCTGAAAAATAAAAATGGTGTTTGTAGTTTTGTACAAATAAAATTGATAGAAGATGTGTAATCTATTCTTTGTTTATAGCCCCACAAAAAAAAAAAGAGTTCTCTTATGTTGAATGAGAAGTTCGTGAAGATTTTAAAATAGGACTGTATAATTTAGTTTTAAATATATAATTTTTAAAAATAAATAATATTTGGTGTGTATTAATTGTAGGCTGACGACAATGAAGATGGGAAATTATCACTGGAAGAGATGATTAATCATGAAATTATTTTCTACCACACAGTTCATGCTGATGACTCCCACGAAGATCACGACGAACTTTGATAATTTCTCGTCAAAACTGATGAAAATCCTTATGAAACTTTTTGTCCAATCTCCCTAGCTCATTCTCATAAATGCTTCTTTTGATCCTGGTTTTTGAAATCCTTCATTTACTCCAGGGGACCAACAATTGTAGAATTTTACTATTTTATTTATAATTTAGTACTTCCGCTTCGTAGGGCGCTTAGTATTTTTTCTAGTAACAAACGGTGATCATCGTCATCGTCATCGTCATCGTCATTTTACAGCATTATAAAACCAAAATGGTTTTGTAGCTGCAGTATTAACGTTTCGTCCTCCAAGGCCAATCCAATACAAGATTAAATTTATCAGAACAAATTCTCCCCCCCCCCCCCAAAAAAAAAGTTGCGCACTCTATTACTACGTTTACATACACCCACATAATTAAATTACTTATATTGAAAATTACATTCAATGTTCTTTCTTTCTTACTTGCTTACTTTATTTTTTGTTAATAAACAAAACTAGCTATACATTTTTGTGTTAAATGCTTAAATTACAAGTTTCTGGTGGCTAATACTTACATTACGAGTTCACGGTCAAAGCCGTGCAGACTAACTGAGAATTAAATCCAAGTAGATAATACAATATTCCTACACCCCGTAGTGCAGATGGGTCTGTGAAGACCCTAGTGTTGTGGTTATTTTGTTCAGCCTAATGGGCTCTTTTCTCCAAAAAAAAAAAAAAAGATCATCACAACAATTTGCCTCTCAAAAAGCTTGGCAATACGATTAATGTCGATGCTATCAAACAATTGGCAATTTAGTGTAGTTCCTTATATGGATGTGTACCATTTCCTAACACAAGGCCCGTGGAAGGCCAAAGCTTTTGCATTACCAGCACTGACGTCTTGTGAAACATTATGATTGAAATAGAAGAAAATATGCCTTTTGTAGTTATGTTTGGTTTGATTCAAATTAATTTAAGCCTGGCTAAGTCCTTCAAATAAAATACAGTAACTAATTTATGTAATAGGGTGGTCCAATCATTGTTATTAAATTCTTGAGTTGACTATTTGAATTTATCATTTTCACATTTTCATCTTATAAAATCAGTCATAAGTTCAAATTATATATAACTTGATCAAGCTCACAAGTTAATTTTTTAAGTTTACTATTTTTAAATTTCTAATTTACAAAATCACATTAACTTGCATATTAACTTAAACTATACACAAACTTAAACTTACTAAACTCATCGATTTTTTATCAAGTTGAGGGAATTATGTATATATTGTATAAAACTCATTTCATAGAAGCAAAAGCACCATCTAGGGATGCATGGTTTAATTTGTCAAGGGAGTTGAATCAGTTTGTCTTGGATTTTCAAGTTCGAGTCCTGAGATATGCAGTCACGTTAAATAAATACGTTAAAAGCATTTGCAGGTATCTATGAGGCTGTCATTGGTAACAACAATCTCACACAATGGGGGTTTGAATTAGTCTAGGCAACATGCGTTAATACCCCTAGTATACAAAGCAATGAAATCAAAGAAGAAGAAGAAGAAGAAGAAGCAATGGGGCTCTATAGTTGGAAATCAAGTTCTTAAGCCTTATATGCCTTTCCCTTGTCCTAATCAAAGATAATGCCTATAAAATATTAAATAAATAATGAGTATAACCACTTAGTAATCAAAATAATTTGAAAGATGCTCACACAAGTCAAATAATCATAGGCATGCAAATTGAGCAATTATAAAACAAATGAAATCATTAATCACGATTCATAATGCAATGTATATTTCCTTATCTCAAACATAAGGGTGTTACAAATTCCTATTACTAACTTTGCTAGTTAAGATTTAAGGGTAAGCTCTATTACCATATTTTCTAGGTGGGATTTAAGAGTAAAGTAAAGAACTAAACACCAAGGCCTCACTATGTTGATGAGACCCATGGAGACTAACAATTATCCTCTATTAAGGCAAACTCTAAACATCATTATGATCATGCCAACACACCACATTCTAATTCAATGCATAGCATATTCATTATCATCCATTGTTCATTTTCATCAATATCTATTTCAATTTCAAAGAGTTCAATCTATCACTGTGAACACTGTATTTTGTCTGAGTATTTTTTAAATTTAATAAAAATAATAATAAATTTAAAGAAATATAAAAATACGAAAATGAAATTTAATCTCTTTTAGGATTATATTTTCAAAAAAAAATAATCTAACAAAAAAAAAGGTATTCACGCTTAATTCAAAATTAAATTTTTCTCTCTTAATCTGATTTTTAAAATTATGATTAACATAATATGAAAAACAAAAGAAGAAAGAGAGAGGCATTAAACATTAACAAAAAAAGAAGAAAAAAGGCATTAAAATTTATATATACATATATATATATATATATATAAACTGAAGGTTAACGCAGCAAAAACGCAGCACGTCCACACACTTGAAGAAGCAGAGACAAAACACAGAAAGAAAGGAGAGAGAGAGAGAGAGAGAGCAGAAGATACACGAAAGTACATGAAAAACAAAAGGAGAGAAAGACATGCACATTACAGTAGAAAAGAAGAGCAAAACTGAGAGAGGAAGAGTAGACTCACAGATGAAAAACACAAAACAGACGCACAAATAGAACAGACCTGAACTTTCAGCCAGAGATACAGAAGCAGAGAGCAAAATAGAAACCAAAAAAAGCTTCACTTGGCAGCAAACTCACGTACGAAGAAGCAAAGGAAACAGAGCTGGAGACGCATGCATGTATATTGCAGTGGAAAAGAAGAGAAAAAGAGAAAAAAGGATAGCAGAAAGGTAACACGTTCGGCCACACGCAAAAGAAAAATGAGAGAGGACTGCACGCAAGCTCTGAAAAGAGAAAGCTCTTCCCTGCTTCTGCTTGAAAGGAGATGAACGAATTAGAGAGAATAGGAGTGTTGAGCACTTTAAGTAGGAGTTGAAGCTGATAGCAGATGGAAGAGTGAGTAGGAAAACAAGAGCTAGACGAAGAAGAGGTTGGAGAAAGAAGAGAGACTGAAAGGAGAGAGAGCAACGACAGGGAGACACATTACAAAAAAAAAGAGAAAAATAAAGCACAAACAAGTACACGGCATAGACGAAAAATAGAGAGCAAGAAGCAAAGAAAAAAAAGCCAAACGATGATGTGAGAATAGAGCTAGAAACACAGAACAGAGAAGAGAAGAAGAGAGGGACCAAAACTAAAGAGTGAAAAAGCACGAAGAAAAACAGAGTGCGAGAATGGACTAGGAAAACGAGAGGGAAGATGAAAACGAAGAAGAAGTGGGAATAAGAGAGGATGAAAAAATAGAGGGAGAGTCAAAGAGAGAGATGGAGAATGAGAGAGCAGTGATAGGGATGAATAAGATGAACAAATGCGAGAGAGAGAGAGAGAGAAAGCAGCAGCGTCCATCGAGCAAAGAGGAAGCTGCTTCACAGCTTCGGGAGAGAGAACATCATGGACTTTTGGATCTGGTGATACCAAGTTATTTTTTATATAGTGTCAGTTTTCACATGTTCTAGTAAATGTGAGGTTAGGATGAGGAATCTTCAATACGAGGAAGGAGGAGTATTGGGCAAGAGAAGCAGCATTCTGTGACTATGAGGACTATGAATGAGGAAGGAGGAGAGAAGCAAGATATGAGGAATACACACAAGGCAATAAGAGTAGAGATAAAATTTCAAGTAAAAATTTAATTTCCTTCTTAATTATTTTGATTAATCCCATTACCTTGAAGAAAGTATGATGATCGTTATTAAAATGGAAACTTTAAATGAAATTCTTGTCTATTGTTTGATTTACCTTGATCTGATTTCCATGCATATTCCTATCATTGTTTTGTCTCAAGCAAAGTGAAGGAATTTTTATGCTTGTTAGGCTAAGATTAAATTAAATCTAAAATATATTTTTAGCAGACAAAATGAAATCTAATTTTTTTAAGGTTAAGACATTAACTTGATTTGTATTTCTATAGGAGATACATTAGGTATTGATGGTAGTAATGATATGTGAATCTTGTTTATTATTTTTTTATTGTTGGATAATATCACCATTATTCTCATTATTTCCTTTCGAAAGCCATATCTGAGCATTAAATCAATTTCAAAATCTTAAAGAATACATTCTCAAGTCAAAAGAGGAGCGAAGTGTCAAAATAATTTCTTTCTCTGTTTATTCCTATAAATGCTAAATTCATATTATGCATTGATCGCAAATGCAAATATCTTAATTATTTATTTGTTGTGTGAGATTTTAAGAATCTTTACAGGTATTTAAAATGATCCTATATCATGAAAATCAATAAGATTTCGTAGGTTTGAGGATCAATTTTGTATATAATAATATGGGTTCCAAAAGGCCATCGTTAAAATTAATTTTTTTAATAAATCAATAAAATCTTTTGGTCACGTGAGATTTTTGAACATCTATAAACTTTTAGAATAATCATCTCATTGTGAAAGTCAATAAGATTTTGCAGGTATAGTATTTAGGTCATGTGAGGTTTTTAAATCTCTGTAAACTTCTAATATCATCGTATTATCGTATGAGTCAATAAGACTCTGCAGATATAATAATTAAGTTTTTTAAAAATATATAAATTATATATTAAATTAATTAAATTTAAGATGTATTTAAATAAATTTAATTCTTTAAATGTGTGAGATTTTAGAATCTCTGCAGATATTGAGGATAATCATATTACCGTATAAGCCAATAAAGCTTTGCAGGTATGATAATTAAAATTCTTTAAAAATATGTACATACATACTTAAATAAATTATTACTAGCACTTAAAAATATAAATAAATTAAGTTTTATTGTGTGAGATTTTAAAATCTCCACAGATATTTAGAACAACTGCATACCGTATGAATCAATAAGGCTCTGCAAGTATAGCAGTTAAAATTCTCAATCATAAAACATAAAATAAAAATAATTTTAAACTCTTTTCTTCCTTTATTCCAAAAATTCAAAACATTGAGAAAATAATTGAAACTAAATTACTTTTTACAATTTAAAACACACATATTAAAATTTTAAAAATTATTTTATTTGCAAAATGATGAATTATTTTTAATTAATTTCTCCTCAAAAAATACTTTCACCAACAACTTTCAAGCCCGAACTACGTAAACTTTGATCCCTATCATAGGGTATGTAAGTATCAAAGTCAAATTCTGTGTCAAGTCCTCCCTTACAAATAAATAAATATTTCTCACTTAATTTTTATCATCTTTTAAACATGTGAATATAAAATGGATAATTAAAATAATTAAAAATCATATTAATAGAGCACAATAAATTTTAGGTAACCATTCTCATGAACAGGTGTTGTGAGGTGCCTAACACCTTCTTCACACTCAACCGACTTCCAAATCTATTTTCTGTTTTCACAAACCATCCTTACCTCTTTTAAAACGGCTTTACAAGATTTTTTTTTTAAATTTTATTGGTGATTCCTATTTCTTTAGTCTTCTTTCCAAAGGCCGGAACCTCCTCTCATGCACCGTCCACGTCGCATTTTTTTCGGTGCAACAATTACTATTTTATTAGTTTAAAGAACCACACTTGCATAATTTCAAAATAGAGACAATATATATACATATTGATATATATATATATATATATATGAAATTATAATTTTTGTAGTTCATAAACATCTACAATTAAATTAACAAGCAATAATGCAAAATTAATTACCTCAAACCTTTAAGAAATTAAAAGTTACCCATCAATACCACTTGTTTTTAAGTTAAATTTGAGCCTTACGGTGCTTCATGATGTTAATATACAATTATCAATATCAACCATCACTAATAATAATGAAAATTACTACTTCTAACTTCTAAATTCACATTTTCACAACCAAATTTCTCAGCTACAAATTCGACCTCTCATATAATGAGTTTATTAACTCCCTTAACTTCATTTAGCTCCTATTAGCTTAAATAATCATAAATATGGATGACTTGAGCTCAAAATCTTGTAAAAACTTCTAAATTAGGTATAGAATATTTAAATAATTCTTATTAGTCTCTTTAGATCAATGGATTCAAATCTATAGCCCTATGTTTGAAAATCATCATATTTTTCAATCTAAAATTCTTCTTCAAATCCATATAGAGAGAAGAGTCAGGGAGACGCATCTAGTTAGACTTGAGCTTAAAACACCTTTAAGACTCAAAATGATTAGGCCCTAGTAGCCCAAAATGCTCCCTTCGTTGCTTTCTCTTTGTTTTCACATTTTCCTCTCTATTTTTTGAACACCAAGCTTGAACATTAAGTCTGATATTTGGCCATATGTCGTGGCATATGTAACAGCCCTCCACTCACCCCGCCTCCCCGAGGTCTTTTGCGACGCTGGACACTCTCCCCTCAGGCCCCACAACAGGGCGACCCCACCCCTTTCGGTGAGCATCAGGAGACAAAAGCTTTTCCACAGTAGTGTACAGGATTATCCCCCTTGCGGAGAGCCTCCCTAGGTTCGATCCTCCAACCTCTCCTACATAACAAAGTTGAGGCTGAACCCGGTACCATTGAGTCAACTTGACTTAATGGTATCGGGTTCAGCCGTTGACTCAATGGTACCGGGTTCAGCCTCAACTTTGTTATGTAGGAGAGGTTAGAGGATCGAACCTGGAGAGGCTCTCCGCAAGGGAGATAATCCTGCATACTACTACGGGGAAGCCTTTGTCTCCTGATGCTCACCGAAAGGGGTGGGGTCGCCCTGTTGTGGAGTCTGGGGGGAGAGTGTCCAGCGCCGCAAAAGACCTCGGGGAGGCAGGGTGAGCGAAGGGCTGTTACAGCACACAGTGCATCCGCTATGGTGGATGGTCAAGCCTGAATTTGTTCCACAAGTTGCCCAAGTGGTCTAATGCACCTCTGGTATCTATAGGCTGCCACCATTCAATAGCACCATTGGCCATTTTTAGCCATTCTTAAACTAATTAATACTCAATTTTACTTATTTAACTTTCATTAGTCCATTTAATCAGGGAATTAAATTTTAAGATATTACATAGCTATAGATGTGCAGAAACTTCCATAGTAGTAAATAATACAAATCAAGTGGGCATGTCTATGGTTGTTGATGGTAGGATTGAGAAGGCTATTTAGAACCTAAAGGTGATGCCAAAAACAAATCACTTAATTTGGCATGTTCTAAACCAAGAATTAGCATCGAGAGAAGCTCTTTTTAAAAGAAAGCATGTCCCTGACCCCATTTGCCACTCATGTGGAGAGGAGGTTGAAACACTTGATCTTATTTTCCTGCTTTGTTAATGGGTTAAGGTAGTGTGGTTTGAATGCCCTTTGGGCATTATGATCAATTTAATGAATGACATTTTTAGATATTTTTATTTTTATTTTGAAAAAAATAACTTATAAAGCATATCTAATGAATTTTATTGGCAGGCATGATGTTGTCTATAAATATCTTATAAATTAAGACAGATGGAGTGCATTTTAAGAACAATATGATCATGTAGTCTTTATATTAAATAAGGCAAGGCTTTAGATATATATTTTTATATATTTAAAATTATTAATTAACAAAAGGAAAAATAAAACTTTAGGTTTTTACACTTTATTTGAATTTTATTACAGGTTCTTGAACTTTTTTTTAGTATTTCAGGTTCTTATACTTGTTTTCTTATTCCTATAACATTGCTCATATAGGTACCTACAATACCACTCATGAAGGCATCTAGAATACCGAAAAAAAGTAAAGAAATTTATAATAAAACTTGAGTAAATTGTAAGAATTTAAAGTTATATTTTTCCTTAACAAAAATATAGTTAAAGACTTTTTATCATGTAAATTTTGAGTGAGCTTGTTTGTATAAGATACCAGTTTGGACAAATTTTACAGGTATGGTTGCATAAATTTTAATCATAAATCATAAATATAAAATACTCCCTCAAGTTTAATATTATAAAATACTTTTAATCAAATTATATTTCTAATAAATTAATTAATTACATTTAAAGTTACACCATATTTGTATGTTTACCTTTATTTAATATATATTTTAATTAATTTTTTTATTAATTATATTCTTAATTAAGATATTTTTTAAAAAATACTATTATTTATACATTGTAACACGTTTTGTAAAAAGGACCCCCATTGGGGGGGGGGAATAATCCTTTATTTATTCAAACATGGCCCCCCGGGTCCACACAAACGGCAATAACTTTACCCGGGGACGCGCGACTGTAAAAAAAAGTTAAAAAAAAAAAAAAACTTGAATAATGTTCACAACTAATATTTAATTAATTCTTCTCAATAATTCATTTTTAAATTTATATTTTTGGGCGATGCGATTTTAGGTTTTGTTTAATTCGAATCCAGCGCGTCTGGATGTAACCGCTCTTGTTTTGTTCTGCTTCTTCTTCTCTACTCTGTCACTCTCCCTTCGCCTTTGTTTCCGTCTGCAGATCGGTCACGCGGTGGCCTCCGATTCACGTAATCATTCAATTCTGAGGTAATTAAGTAATTTCTGTTTTCTTGGTTTTTTATTAAGTATTGATCCGATTGACTTTTGGTTCCGAACCTTCTTTTGGGCCTTTTTGGATTTATACGCTTTGTTCGCAATCTTACCGGGTGTTTTGATGAGTTGATTTATTTTTCCGTTATCGATTTAAACGCTTTTACTATGTTCTCAGTTTCGATCTGAGGCTATTCTCAGGTATAACTTTGCCGGTTTGAATTTATTAGTCATTTAATGCCAAGCGGGTGGTCAAATTCCTATTGCTTGGATATGGAATTTTGTTACTTGATAAAGAAGGAGCGCAGAGGCGGTTGCCCAAGTCAGATAAGCTAAGACCAAAGCCTATGTTTTATGGGTGCAGTGGAGTAGAGATTTTGTTGTTTTTCTGGCTGAAACGGACTAAAGGAATAGATCTCCGAACACATTAATAAGAATGGAATAATATTAAACCGTCCTCCATTTTCTATTAGAGTATGCAAACTCTTTGTCGAATGTGTCTGTTGTTTCTTGTATGTAAATTTTTCTTTGCGTAATTACCGCATTTTGAAAAGGAAAAAAAAAAAGAAAGAAATTTCATTTGGCGATTTTATTGTGCCATGTCCAAGATACTTGGACAAGTCTATACTATAAATCTACAATATCACTTGTTGACTCAAGTTCCTCTGAGTTTATTCCTGGATCTCGTGTTGTGATAAATTGGCCCAATTTCCTTTTCAAACTTTAGTGAGTAAAGCTATTTGTTTCACACCATTAGGTACACCATGGCCATGGAAGTTACGCAGGTTCTTTTGAATGCTCAATCTATTGATGGGAACGTGAGGAAGCACGCTGAAGAAAACTTGAAACAATTCCAGGAGCAAAACTTCCCCAGTTTCTTGCTTTCTCTCTCTGGGGAATTGGCAAGTGATGACAAACCAGCTGATAGCCGAAAGTTGGCAGGTCTGATACTAAAAAATTCGCTGGATGCTAAGGATGAAAGCAGAAAAAGTGAGCTGGTTCAAAGATGGTTGTTGTTGGATCCTTCAGCAAAGACCCAGATAAAGTCATGCCTGCTGCAAACTCTCTCTTCTCTTGCAGTTGATGCACGATCTACTGCGTCTCAAGTGATTGCTAAAATTGCAGGGATTGAGCTTCCTCAGAAACAGTGGCCTGAACTGGTAGGCTCACTTTTATCAAACATTCATCAAATACCTGCTCATGTCAAGCAAGCAACCTTGGAGACTCTAGGGTATTTGTGTGAGGAAATTTCTCCTCAGGTTTTAGATCAAGACCAAGTAAATAAAATACTTACAGCAGTAGTTCAAGGTATGAATGTACCTGATGGGAACAATGATGTCAGGCTTGCTGCTACGAGGGCATTATACAATGCTCTAGGATTTGCTCAAGCTAATTTTAGCAATGATATGGAGCGTGATTATATTATGAGAGTTGTCTGCGAGACAACTATGTCTCCTGAAGTGAAAATACGACAGGCTGCTTTTGAGTGCTTGGTCTCAATTGCATCGATGTATTACGAGAAATTATCTCCTTACATCCAGGATATTTTCAACATCACAGCAAAGGCTGTTAGGGGTGATGAAGAGCCTGTTGCGCTTCAGGCCATTGAGTTTTGGAGTACAATTTGTGATGAGGAGACAGATATCTTGGAAGAATATGGGGGTGATTCAACTGGGGACTCTGATCTAGCTTGTTTTTATTTTATCAGGCAAGCTCTTCCTGCACTTGTCCCCTTGCTTTTGGAAACACTACTTAAACAAGAGGAGGATCAGGATCTGGATGAAGGTGCCTGGAATATTGCAATGGCAGGTGGCACGTGCCTTGGTTTAGTTGCACGCACAGTAGGAGATGATGTTGTGCCTCTTGTAATGCCCTTCATTGAGGAGAATATTACAAAACCGGATTGGAGACAGAGGGAAGCAGCCACTTATGCATTTGGCTCGATCTTGGATGGTCCTTCGCCGGACAAACTAGCATCTCTTGTCAATGTTGCTTTACCATTTATGCTCAGTGCATTGATGAAGGACCCAAATAATCATGTGAAGGATACCACTGCTTGGACACTAGGACGGATGTTTGAATTTCTCCACAGTTCAATTGTTGGCACACCACTTATTAATGAAGGAAATTGCCAACAGATTATCACAGTTCTGCTCCAGAGCATGAAGGATGCTCCCAATGTTGCTGAGAAAGCTTGCGGAGCTCTTTATTTTCTTGCCCAGGGTTATGAGGATGTGCAAGCAGCTTCTCCTCTGACTCCCTTTTCCCAGGAAATAGTTCAATCTCTTCTCTCTGTTACACACAGAGAAGATGCAACAGAATCGCGATTGAGGACTGCTGCATATGAAACTTTGAACGAAGTAGTGAGGTGTTCAACTGATGAAACAGCTTCCTTGGTGTTACAACTGGTTCCTGTCATTATGATGGAGCTGCACAAGTCTTTTGAAGGGCAGAATCTTTCATCTGATGAAAGAGAAAAGCAGAGTGATTTGCAGGGGCTTCTTTGCGGATGCTTGCAGGTAATTATTCAGAAGCTCGGTTCATTAGAGGCTACCAAATCTGCCTTCATGCAGTATGCTGATCAAATTATGGGGCTATTTTTGAGGGTTTTTGCTATTAGAAATGCCACTGCACATGAGGAGGCCATGCTTGCCATTGGAGCCCTTGCGTATGCAACAGGCCCTGATTTTGCAAAATACATGCCAGAATTCTACAAGTATCTGGAGATGGCTCTTCAGAATTTTGAGGAGTACCAAGTTTGCGCAGTCACTGTTGGTGTGGTGGGGGACATATGCAGGGCATTAGAAGATAAAATACTTCCTTATTGTGATGGGATTATGACACAACTTCTAAAGGATTTGTCAAGTGATAATTTGCACCGCTCTGTGAAGCCCCCATTGTTCTCATGCATTGGTGATATAGCTCTTGCTATAGGAGATAATTTTTATAAATACTTGATGTATGCAATGAACACACTTCAGCTTGCTGCAGAGACGTATGCACACGCATCAGGTTTTGATGATGAAATGACAGAGTACATCAATTCTTTAAGAAATGGCATATTGGAGGCATATTCTGGAATTTTTCAAGGTTTTAAAAATTCATCCAAGACCCAGCTCTTGATTCCTTATGCACCTCACATCCTCCAGTTCTTGGATAGCATCTACATGGAAAAAGACATGTGAGAAACATAGAGCTTGCTCTTTCTGTTTTTCTTTTTTGTTGATTCTTAGATTTGTATCTTTTAATGACGTCAATGACTTTTATGATGCAGGGATGAAGTGGTTATGAAAACCGCAATTGGGGTCCTTGGAGATTTGGCTGATACACTTGGAAGTAATGCAGGTTCTTTGATACAGCAGTCATTGTCAAGCAAAGAATTTTTAAATGAATGTTTGACCTCTGAAGACCATTTGATTAAAGAATCTGCTGAGTGGGCCAAGTTGGCCATCAATCGTGCGATATCTGTTTGAGGTTCATCTGAATTAGCGCATTCTTTATCATCTTAAAATACCTGCATGCATTTGGGTGTGTCGGGGTGGGTCTGGGATTGCATGTGTCAAGTCATCACATTCAGGCAACAGAAGCTATCAGTCTGACAGTCTTCAAGTTGTCACTAACTCTTGCATCATCACCAATGCATCACTGACTTTTGCATGAGCATCAAGTCTGGTTCAGATAAGAGGAAGAAGAGAGAGATGAGTTTGCAAATTTGGGTGGAGTCTTCATGCAGAGTTGTCGACTTCATGGTTGAGTGGAGGTAGCTTTTCTTGGATTAACACAGATCAGGCACCTCTGGAGTCATACATTGAGTCTTGATTGTCAGAAGATAAACCCATTATAACCTAAAAAACGTTTACTCTCAAGCTGGTTGTCGGTTATCAGCATGGATGAGTTCACTGGGCTAATACGATTTCTCTTTCAGTACCGTCCAAGCGCTGTGTCGAGGGACTTATTCTTCCTTTTCATTGAAGTTACCCCCTGGCTCTGTTGCTTATCACCATCACTGGGCTGTTTTTCATCCATGGATTTTCCCTCCATACTTGTGTCCTTGGGTTGGGGTCTTTGGGCATTACTGACACGGGTTGGGATTTTTTATCTTTTTTTGGGGGACAGGGTTGGGATGATTACATTCTGGTAGCATCATGCGTTTCTTTATTTTTATTTTTTTTGGTCTGTAATTTGTTTTAGGTGGGAAAAAAAATCATGTTTTTATGGAATCATCAACTGTGCCTTGATATCATTTTATACTTGTGGGCTTTGTGTTGCTTGTGAAACGTGGATGTAATCAAATCTCGGTTAACGTACCTACAGAATCATGCTTAAAATCGTCAGATGTTCTGACGGTGCTAAAGGGACCAACAAAGTGTGGTTTGGTGTTTCGGTTTTTGGAATACAGTTATCCTCTCTGGCTCGGTCTTTGTTATATTGTTGTTCGTGTGTGTGTGTGTGTGTGTGTGTGTGTGTGTGTGTTTTTTGCGCACTGAGCAATTATCTAGCTTGTGCCCGAATTCTTTTTCTTGCACGCATATATTCTTGATGGTTTCTCTAAGATGAGACGAATATTTTGGGTTTGGCCATTGAGATGAGTCTTCAGGGAGATAACTCTGCTTTCGTTGGGAGTTCTCGTATCTGGAATATTTTAGGTAGTCATGTATCATTGGTGGTGGCCAGGCCTGTTTATCAATATAGATATGAATGGGCACCTATGTTACAAAGTACACGGCAAATGAAGGGTTATATATAAACGGCTAACACGTATTGCAGACTACAGTATGTTGGACATAAGACACTGCACTGGCAAGCATGCACGTAGGGGTAAGTGTTCTGCGAGCTGCCCAGTGGCCAACAACCCATAACGGGAGGAAGGATGTGCGTGGAAGAAAGAAATGATTAAGCCCACAGTGTGGTAATTCTAATCGATTGGAGGAATTTGTTTAGTTTATTTCAGTATTAGTATTTGGTTGTTGGCTGGTTTCCATAACATCACGTGGTCGATTCATCCGGTCATATTCTAGAAGGAATTTATATTTATTTCACAAATCACTTTGCATTAAAAAGTGGATTATTAATTATTTTCTTTTAGTTTTATCCTTTCACAATTTTCATAAGTAAAGGGTAAAAAGTGACACGGGAGAGAATATTTTTAAAGATGATGCATTTAATAAGAATAAGTTGAGAATTTTTAAAAAAAAACAATAACAATAATTTAACTATCTCTCATTGATTTTGGTAAAGTAGTTAGAAAATAAAAACTATTATAATCACTAGGAACAACTTGAAGTGTTTTAATAAACTCAACACTTAGAAATCATTAACGTTTTAAAATTTTTTCTCCCTCTGTCTCTATATGGAAGAAATTTTTTAAAACTTTTTTTGTCTTTAAATATAAAATGTTATTAGTATATTTTTTAATAAATGAATCATTATATCATTATAAAATTAAAAAGAGAAAAAAATAAGCATTTTTATTATTTTATTTTTTAAAAAAATTATTTTTTATTTACAATAATTAAGGAAAAAATTGAAATGTTGTTATGCTTTTAATTAAATAACTAATTTTTATTGATTTGCATAAATCGATTAAAAATATTTTATACATAAGAAAGGAAAGAGTATTATGTAGAATCTGTGATTCAGGTTCATAAAATTTAACAAAAAATTACATTGATTGTTTGTTGATGACACATAAGAAAGGAAAGAGTATTATGTAGAATCTGTGATTCAGGTTCATAAAATTTAACAAAAAATTACATTGATTGTTTGTTGATGACTTGACACAATTCTCTTTGCCCAGACTTAGAACTAGTTGTAAATTAATATGCACCATCGTTTAAGAAATTTATAAATTAGACCTCTAGACAACGTTTTTGAACCGTTAAAATAGTCAATCATTTACACGTGCAGCTGCCTCTGACAGGTCGACTTGTTGATATTCACTTCATAAGGTCCATTTCCCACAAAAGCAACGTAAGCTCCTGGCTCTTTCCTTTGAGACCATGTCGACGTACGTTCTTAGTGTTGGTTTAAAATACAAGATAATTTACAAATAGTCAATAACATCAAATTCTTTTTTATTTTTTCACAAATATTTTTATTAATTATATCGTAGAAAGAGATAATATAAGAAATAAATTAAATGAAATTAAGATAGATTGATTTTAACTGGAGAGTAATCTTGAAAACTTGTGATAATCTTTTTTACCATTTTAATGATACAAATCAGGTTTAACTATTTTTCTTAATTTAATAATAGCAGTGGTTTGGATTTGCAGGAGATTATTCGACATTCTTTTACTTCATCTTTCCTTGTCTCTGGCCCTCTTACGATTACATTTACACCACTCATTGGAATTAGATGCACAACACAAAAACTAATGAACAATGCAAAATGGGGAAATCATAGCAAGCATCCAAAATGAACAGCGTCTCCACTTTGAATATTGACCATTTTCTTTCACGTGAGATTATGTTTGAACCATACAAGAATTGCTTCTTCATCAGTGTCCAGAAGTTTCAGTGTCACACCAGTTTTGTGTTGTTGGAAGGATAAGAATCCCTCAAGTTGCATTACTCTGTTCATCCCAACTAAGAGCTGTGCACCACCACCACTGCTTCACTTAATTAGATTAAGATGAATGAATTAAGATGTACAGTTAATTTATTTAGGTATTATGTGCTGTAATGTATGTAACATACTTCATCATGTTTATTTATTCTATCCATTTTCTTTTTAAAGTTCATTTGAATTGCAATTAGGAAGGCATTTATACTTTCTTTTTTAATCCATTGTCTAATACCCTAAAAAATTTAAAGTATTATCAACAATGACCTCAGATGTTTTAAGAATGATTTTGACATACTTATTTAACGAGATTACATATTTCAAATCTCGAATTTGAGATCTCATAATAAACTTATTCAACTTCAATGACCTGTTAAACAAAAGCTTATATACTTTGTGCATATTACATACAGGTTCTAATAAATCCCACTATTACTATAAGGATTTTATTGATGGGTAATTTATAAGTATCTCTATAAATAACTTTTGAGCTTTAAGTCATGCATTGCTTTTGATGAACTTTCAAAGTCCAACTTATCTAAACTATCCACGATTAAAAAAATGAGTTGTACTATTTATATCTTTTGAATAATAATTTATTCAGAAATTTGGCAGGCAACCCAAACCAAAATACTGATGATTATGCCTCTACTCGCCTACACATTTAATTATATTAAGTTGATTCATGCAATTTATGTCTATTTGAATCATATAATTATTTATTTAGACGCCTGTAAAGCAACTGAGCCAAAATGTTTGTGATTTCGCCTCTAATAATCCATATAACAAGTTTCAAATAATGCAAATAATAACAATAATAATAATATATGTTTTTGTACTTGAAAATATCTGCAGCATATGGCCAAATAATGCGTACAATTTGATGTGGGTCAATTGATTTGTACTTGTAAATCTAGAGAGAACTTTTTGGCTCAAGATCATGCATACAACTTTATGATAGAAAATACAAGTTAATGCACCTGATAATAAGTCATAACTCAGTCAAATTAAAAGTGACTACTGAAAATTATCAGTGTTAATTTGTGATTAAACTAGTAACGACCAACCAATGCTGTCTCCTTTCCCTTCTTTCGTTTTCTAGTGCACCCACTATGAAAATTCCACAAATTAAACAATTCTTTTTTTCGGCCTTTGTTTTTTTGTGTGTGTCAGTTTATCTTCCTGTGCAATATGATCATTTCATCTGTAGCCCACTTTCTGGGTATGTCTCAATCCATTGACTACTATGAAAGTGATCAAAGGCGAAATAAGAGAATCAAAAAGCACCATTCTGCTTAAGTGGCGTTTGGTACCACAGAAAATTTAAATTCCAGGGGAGAAAATTTTAGGAGCTTCTTCCACTACCTATTGTGGGATCTTATTTTGAAAGCCAATATGGATTTGCAATTTGCCCACTTCATTAATTTCTCACACAATCTGCATTTTTCTTTTCATTCATTTTCTTTTAACAGCTTTTAGATTACCAACGAGGGATTTTTTCGGCCGAATTTTGGTTCATCAGCAACCCGCGGCTAACCCCAACCCAAGAAAAGCAAAGAAGATGAGTACTAGCCCACTGCCCACAATCCACATCTTCATCTAGAGTTGTTAATTTTAACAATTATGTTTGACATTCAAAACTTTGTACTAAAATGCTTTTGTAATTAATCTTTCATTTTTTTCTAATTTAATGATATAATCACTAGCCCACATATTCATCTTGATTCAATTAGAAATTAGTATATTAAATACATAACATTAAGTATGCAAATTTTTTCCTATAAAATTACAAAAAAAAAAAATTTCTCTGTTAAAAAATATAAGATATTTTTAATCAAATCTTATTCTCTAATAAAATAGTTATTTATCTTCAAATTAATCCTATCTTTTCATATTTAATAAGGTGTTTCATCCTAAATAATAAGGGTTTTTTTTTGAAAAAAAATAATGATTACATATTGAAAGACTAAAAATATTTTATATATTTTAACATCCAACTCCTTAAAATATATTTTATTTTTGAACATGGGGAGTATGTCTATACATAAATATTAAGATTCAAACATTTTGTTTCCACTTGAAATCGTAAGTAGCCACTAATTTTGAGTCAAATGAAAGAGATTAACTTATAATCTGTCCAACCAATGTAAACAATAGTGCATATGTGAAAAGTAGGCAAGCACATAGTTTTAGTTACTGCGCCTGCTAGTGAAAGTAGGAAAGTAGATTGACTTGGAAAAGGTGGGCAAGCCATGCAATGCGGGCAAATGTTAGGAGTGTCCGCATACCTACAATTTCTTGCTTCCACATATTTTTAATGCAACAGATACATATAATATTGCGGTTGACTCAAGGGCTTGTGGGTTAAATAAAATACTGTATTAAAAGTTTATATATAATTCATAATGCATTTCATCATCACTCTGTTGTTATTGGGTTCTGTGCTCCACCACAAAATTAAAGAAAAGACCTTCCATACCCATATTTGTCACCTTCTATCTCTTTCTTGTTTAAGTATAAAAGGGCACACAGGTCATGCCCTTCTAATATGGTAACAAGCAGAGTTAGAACAGCCATGGCTTTAAAGATCAAGACTCTTCTTTTGGCTCTTCTCTTGCTTTTCTTGTCCTTTACTTCAGGTGATGATATAACTCAGTTTTAACATCTGTCAATTTCTATTTTAGCGAGTTTTCATTAGTTTACTGCAAGGTTAAGCAGTACATTTTATATGTCTTGAAATTTTCTAGTCAGTGAATGATACGATCTGCAGATATGTGTGTGTGTGTGTGTGTGTGTGTGTAATTATAGTGACAGAAATTTTTTTCTGTTTAAGGTTTTGTTGAAGGCTTTAGGGAAAACATGCATCCTTCAGCTGGTCACTTGCTTTACAAGGTATATCATACCTAATTAGCCTTCTGTAATATGATGTTACTAAGTTGGAAAATTGTTCCTGTGTTAAGTTTTTATAGTAAGAACTAAATAAAAAAAACACCAAGGAGACTTGAACTAGAAGCTATTAATTGGTTTGAGGTCGGACCTTAAAAGCTAGAATACTTGAGAATTGAGAAATATATAATGAATGGAGCAAAAATGATCTGGATTGACAATGTTCCGACATTAAAAATTTGAAATAATTTGTAAATCAACAGTTTTGAGGACCCAAATTTTAACTTCAGATCATGCTCCCTGAACTTTCAAGTTTTTCTTTTTTTTTTTAATAAAAAAAATCATCTGAATACAGGATGGTATGAAGATGAAGTCGAGGAAACTGTTTGGCCATGAATATGTGCTGGATTACGATGAAGGAGGAGCCAGCGGAAAGCATAAAAAGCCTGGCAAGAGCCGTTGATGACCTCTGTCCTGATCGTGTAATCATGTCATATCATATATATATATATATATATATAGATATATATATATCTTCTCTCTCTTACGTTTCTCAAAGTGCTGTTCTCATGTTTGAGCAGACATGGTACAAACATAGAAGAGTTCCTTCATGTGTGTGTAATGAGGCAATACGGTGTGGTATTTTAGCATGTACTCAAGCCGCTGCTCATGTATGACCCCACAAGAGAAGTTAAAATAAAGTCTTACCTTCCATTTTCTAGCTAGGTTTCTCTGGTGCACTATCACGTCTGTCTTTCTTTCTTTCTTTCTTTTTTTTTTTTTTATGCACCCGATATTCTGGACTTGTCCAATTTGAGTTGAAGATACTCAATAAGACCCAGATTAATCTGGATTGAGGGGAACTATCGTTTGAAAATAAATAACTTTTAGGCAAGAATGGCAATGGCATCAACTTGCAGGATTTTCACAAACAGAATACTGGGCGACACAAGAAATATTTCTTCTTTTAATGTTAATTTCCCTGAGTTTTCTTAAATAAGTAAACTGTCTTAGTTGACTGAGATAAGGAAAGTATCAAAGTTCATCTGTCTTTCAAGCAAAATTCCAATCGAAATGTATTGAGTTCCTGCAGCCTGGGGTATGAACATAAGCCTGACAGTTATCATCCATTTATATCTTTAGCAAAGGGGTAAAGAATCAGTTACCTAGCCTGGGGAAAAAAAATTGACATGGCCGACTGATGTGCACATAGATGGTCAATACACGCAATTTAATTACTGATTATTCTATGTCATTTTGGTAGAGACCAATAAGATTTTAGAAATCACACCAAGTTTTAACTAAATCAGATTCAGTTAGATCATAACATTTGTGTGTTAATAATTAAATTTTTGAAGAAAAATATAAATGAAGATATGAGAAAAAGATTTTTAACAAACTTAATACTGGGTCTCATATTTTAAAAAAAGAATTGCATTGATTATACGTTCTGAAAAATAAAACTTCCTACATAAATAAGATATTTATATTGATCTTGTGTCATAAACCAAGCAAATTTCAAGCTCGGCAACATGCGCACTTGGATTATACAGGCAAGAAGTAGAAAAGTCCATGCCTGTTCATATTCTTGCCTTCTATGTTTTGCAGCTTGTAAAGAATACTAAGATGACAACAGAATTCCTTGTGACACAATTTCAAAGATGGCAAAAGGCACTCAAAATACAACACACGATAGATAGCTGAGAAAACTCTGTCCAGCAGTAATTGATTAGCACAGCTGAAATTGAACGCATTTCAAAAGCAGATTCAGCTCAAACGAATTCCTCAATGCTTCAAACCCATTCCCATGATGAATACTTAATTTTTATTTCCAAAACGACAGCTTTGATTAGCATGTGTTGTGTACAAACAAAAACAGCTAACATACACGGACACCAAGCATTTCAATTAAAAGACTTGAATATTAATGTCTTAGTGCAAAATTGCGACTGAGCTTATGTAAACTCTTCTTTCAAATAATCAGGTCCAGGTTTGAAGGGATCGGACTCCGCATATGCATCTGGCCGGTAAAACCCAGCATCATTCACTCGGTTGCTTAAAACATGAAGAATGGCCTTCTTTGTACCACCATACTCATCCCTGTTGCTCTCAACATAAGCACTGGCCTCAGCTGCAACCTCATTCACAAAATCGAACCTGTTATCTTCTGAGAGTAACAGCTTCTCTATATCCATTGTCAAGAGCTTTCCTGTCTCCTTTACAATCCTCACCTGCTCCTCAAGGAAAGGAACACGCTCCATTCTAGCCTCCAGAAATTCATCTTTCTTTATCTGCAGCAGAGTGAATATATGCTTAACCACCTCAGGATAATCACACTAGTTATTAGGAGAAGGTTTTGCTAAGTTATGTGAGTACCACAATTCATCAACACAGTTGCTATTTGTTTATTCAATAATGATACTAAAACAAGAATTAAATAAGGAGATGCATTGTGAAATCTTGGCGTGTCTAGCAGACCTCTTTATCGCATGCATCAACAGCCAGTAAAAATCGAGTAACTGTTGGACACTTCTAAAATCTGAACCTAATATGATGAGATGCAAAATCAAATCATCACAAAAGCTGAAATTTCCAAGTTGTTAATTCCGTTTCCCTATTCCAGACTACATTTGAATCCTGCAACGTGACAAGTGTATCTAAATCTATGATAGCAATATTCTACAACCCATATTTCCCCCGATAAATGTCTTATTCTAGCATTTATCAATTTATGCAGTTTTCAACTTCTCTTTCAATTCTAATGTCCAAAATAGTAACATGCGGCTAAATTGCTTCTCTGTTATCACTGTTTAAAGAATACGAACTATCTCAACGTGACATCTCAAAATGACCTCATAAATTCGAACATGATCTAACCTCTAAACTGTAGATGATAGAATGTTTCAGTTCTTTCCATCAAATGCAAACAAAGCAGGCAAAGTTGTTGGAAAGGGCTGTTCCATTGACTCTTCTAATCACGTCGCCTTAAGAAATGCCTCTTGGATGAAGCTAATTTACCCAAGAGAAATGTAGGGGGGGGGGATTCTCACCCTGCAACGCCATTCCCCTTACATGCACAGCCAAAAAATCAAACACGACAATCTTTTGCCCCTCCCAAGTATACCTATCCTTTGCTATGCACTTCTAATTCTATAAAATGACAGTCACAATCAACACTGTCAGCTTCTTTTCAGCCAGAATATGATCCACGAAAACGTCTATGCTTACCATGGTTGCTACTAATAAAAAAATTTCTTCCTGATTATGTAGCATTTCCTCAACGCAAACACACGCATGGGAAGACATTTCTTTCAACTTTGGAATAATAACAAGCATGTAAAGATCCAGAATATCTAGGATCTTCAAAAGTCATGATTGTAGAGAAAAACACATAGGGCACATGACGATACCAATTTCCTTCGCCTCCAGACTCGCCGACCCCGACCCTCCTTTCGCATCTGAGGCAGCAGCTGCAAACAATTGCGTGTACATCTTAAATCTGGGGCCAACAGAAGACTTGAAGACATCACATTTTTTACCTGTGAGCTAACTGAGAAGTTCTGCCTCCAGGACTCTGCAGCTCTCGACTCTATCCTCTGCGGCGGAAGAAGGAAATAATTATTTCAAGTTCAAAGAACTAAACATATCGCAATTGCCCGTGTAAGATGAAATCGATACATAAAGAAGCAGAAAATCGAATTCATGGAGGAATTTTAAGGCAAATAAAGTAAACTAACGAATAAATTTCACTTCTTAACGATTCTCAACATTATCTCGGGGGCTATACAAGGACATGATTAAGAAGAAAGACCATTACGGGTGAAGTTGAGGATAGAGTCACTGGGGTGAAGCGAATCGCCATGACTGCTTTCCCCGTGCCTGTGCTTCACTATTCTGAATTCTTCTACCTTCCAACGCCTTTTATCTTTTTCTTTTAAAAATATCACGGTCCTTCTTTCTTTCTTTCTTTTGACCAGAATATCACCGTCTTTCACAGATTTCTTTCTTCTATTCAAAATATTAACATTTCTCTCTTAAATTTTGATTCAAAGGTTAAAGTATATATTTAATTTTTTAATTTTATATAATATTTTATTTAACTTTTAAATTTTATAAAATATTTTTAATTATTTAATTTTAATATTATTAGTTTTATCTCAATAAATTTTATATTAAATTTTTAAATATTGATAAAACATTTTTTGTCATATTAAATTTAATTTTTTTAAATAACAATAATAACACAAAAAATAATCATTTAAAATTAATAATGTTAGGATTAAATGACTAAAAAAATATATTATAAAATTAAATGATTAAATTGAAATCTTATATAAAATTAGAGAACTAAAAATATATTTTAATTGTTTAATTTTTTCTATTATCTTGTTCTTAGTATTTATTAATTTAAATATTTATACGACAATATCTCTCACTTATTATAAAGTACATTAGTAATTGAAATTAGAAGTAAAAAATAATATATTTTTTATGAGAATGAGAACTTTATTGGTGTGCAGATTTTTCCAAAAAATATAAAATATTTCATTCTACTCAACACAATTAACTAATAAAACTCATAGTAATCAAAGAATTAACCCAAAGAGTGATTACCAAAGTTTAATTTAAAAGCAAGAGATTTCAAGTTTTTCATAATCACAAAGAGTTTAAAACGATCAAGATTATCTTGTATCAGAGTAAAAATAAATTATAAAAGCATGAGATATCTTGGAAGAGTGAAAAAAATCGTAAACAAATGAAAAATAACTCTTTTAATGTGCGATAGAGCAGTACACCACGGTTTGTGCACAACACATTGTGGTATGTTATTCTCTGTGCCACACACCGCGGCGTGTTGCATGAAAATTTGGCAGATTTTGCTATCATTTGACAGAATCAAGGAACTTTTAATGAGTCTCGATTCTCCATCCAATGTCCAAATGATGTGAACTAGCTAATGGCATGTGTTTCACTTCTAGAACAAGTCACACGGGGAAGTTGGATACTTAAATGCATTTTAACCACTTTTCACCACCTCCACACAAAATGGGTGTCCAAAACCCTCAATAAGTGCCAAAAACTTTTCCTAACACTTAGACCATGTCTTTTGAACCTAAGACTACTAATACCACACGTCACAAGTACTAAACAATAGTATAATAAGATTCACTACTCAACCCCATTTTACCAAAAACAGAGGAGGTAAATTGTCATTACTTCGCATCCAATTCAATCCAAATATGTTCAAATCATCATTTCTATACTTGCACTAGTATTTTAGCCCTATAAATATATATATCTCAACATACATAAATATTCAGGGCTCAAAATATAAATCTAACATTTGCAATAACAAAATAGTGCAAGTGTGATAACATGCATTCTAGAATTGACATTTATATACTATTACACAAAATAATTCTAAGCCAGAGGCATACAATAGGAATATGTTAATTCCTAACCTCTTGAGCCTTCTCCATCTCTGCACCAAATTAGAGCCTGAAAAGTGTTAAATGAAAGGGGTGAGCCTAGGTACTCAATAACCAAAGTAAAACAATTATATATCCATTATAAGCCAAGCACATGCATAAGAAACTAAGTACTTAAAATATACTCATACATATCATAACTCATCATTTCTCATTTAATAGCTTCTTTATTTCAAATATACTAAATACATTGTCACCATATTCTCAAATACATGACCATGACTTCTTATTCATGTGACTTGCTACAACTCATACGTGTGATATACTTGAATAGGTAATGATCAACCAACCTTATATCCTCAGATCAAAACTGTGGGCTATAATACTAATTTAGGACTCTTTCCGTGTGACTGGACTACCCAAGCTCACCAATCGTGAGATATGACCTAGCCAAAGATCACATGACTCACTCTCAGACCACGGCTTCCCTCATTCTCGAATTTCTGAGGTGTCTTACACCCTAGGCTATTCTCCTCATTGAACCGGTAGAGATAGCTAAGTTCTAGTCCCTTGACAAACTATGGGACAAGGTTATACTCTCATGCACTAAAGGGCAGCCTAAATATCATATAAATTTGTCTCTACTCCCTATCCCTAGGTGAACTCTTGTCACTGATCATGCCATAATCAATACTCACTCATTTTCATATTTTCATTTTTACTTACTCATTATCACAACAATCACATTAGGCTCACGATCGTGCACTACTCAAATATGTATTCTCTTCATTTTCTCAACGTTATTCTCACTTATCTCAAAATCCACTTCTTATTAACAGACAATTACCTTTACACAATATCACATTTATTTTTTAAAAGCATACACATGTTCATAGTTTAAAAACTTTCTTGACTTCACATTTTGCATTTCAAGCCAAAAATAGCATTATGCACATTCAAATTTTCATACACTCATTGAAACTAATACATGGTTTCACATTAAAAAAGCAATCATAACATTCACAATTCACATTTAACAATCAATTAACATATAATTACCTAAAGTAAGGTTCCCCCAGTTATTTCAAACTTTTAAGAAGTTAAAGATTTACTCCTCAATCTACTAGCTTCCAAGCTTGAATTTTTAATCCAATAGGTGACTAAGAGCCAAAACTATAATTAACCAAGTTGAATTTCACCAACATTGTCAAATTAAGTATTAAACCATCAATCTCCACTTCTTAATTGTCTAAGGTCCACTCCACAAGAGTTTGAGCCTATCCATTAGATTTATTATCTATCCTTAGTCCCCAATAATATTAATGAACTATTAAATTCTCATTAATGGCATCACACTTTTTCAATCACCCATTTTAATTGCAAATTTTGGACATTAATGGTGCCTAACAACTTAAGACACCAAAAATTTATTTTATTTGGTTTAGATACTCTAATCTATTTCCATTAACTCCATTTAAGTCAATAAATTTAGACCCATAATCTATATAGATCAAAAATCATCTTTCACAATCAAACTCTAATTATAAACTCGTAAATATGGAAGAAATGTGAAGCTTAATGAGTGTGGTACTTACCTTAGGTATTTGTAGCCTCCAAAATACTCCTAATGTCGTCCATAAGTAAACCCTAGTAAAGCTTGATGTGTCTTTTCGCTTCCTTTTTTTTCTCTCCTTTCCTTTTCTGTCTCATTTTCGCAATTGATATCTGTAGAAAATGATCATGCGTCATGGCGCATGGCATAGAGAGGTCTTTCCTTGCATTAAAAGTGTTTGTGTGCTGCAGCGGATGATCTCCACGTCGTGGCATATGACACAGCAATATCACTCTTCATTTTTCTTCTCCTTTTGATGCCTAGTAGCCTGACTTGAAATCGAAACCACAATTTGAGCTGAAATACGATCAAATATCCTTGTTAGAGCTCCCTGACCACACACTACCTCAACTTACTTAATTATCCTAATTAGATTTAATTAATCAGGGGATTAAAACTGGAATGTTACAAAATACTACGTCTTTCGAATCATAATATAAATCACTTTCTAAAACCATTCTTTAGTCTAAAATATACTTCCTCCATTAAAAAATATAATGCATTTTTAACATAATCTCACCTCCCAATAAAGTAATTACCCACTGTAACATCCTAAAATTTTCAAACCAATTTTTTACAAATTATTAATTCAATAAATTATTTTTACATCATCGAATCCTCATCATGATAGAAAAATTTCTACCATGATAATAAATAATTAAACTTCTTTTTAAAACTTTACTATGGTAGAAAAGAGTTTATCTAAATAAAATATTTTACAAATAGCCTAATATAATAGAAAGAATTTAACATAATGAATAAGCTCTATCATGATAATTGAAAATAAAATTTTACTTAATGGAAAACAATTCATATCAAAGAAAATAATAATTTTTAAATCAGTATTTGGTGTAAAATCCTATCTTAAGGTGGCAGAATCCCAAAAAATTTCTAAATACAAATTTTTTTAATGTTGTTATGTGAACCAAAAAGCAATTAAAATTATGAGGGACAAACAGGATCCTCATGGCACGATATTTAAATCAGGTCAAGAATCAAGAGAAACAAATATGATCCTCTTGGTCATATAAATGCTATTAATAAAAAAGATTAGAATCTATATGCTCCACAAAATAATATATGTCCTAAATTAGCACTAGATATATTGCATGATTCAAAATAAGAGACAACATAAAAGATGGTATCTCATATACTAAAGTCACGCCTCTAGTGCTTTCTCGGCCAAACTCGCTCCTGTAAAAATATTAACCACAGGGAATGAGACTTAAAAGTCTCAATAATTAAAAATTAATATGTAATTATGTATATGGATGTAACTAATCATACGATTATTAAGTGGGCACACAAAAATGTTTAACCGAATAATATTTTCAAACAAACCAAACAAGTATTTAATTGCATGACTACACCTCATGTCCTCCTTTTACCATGCCTAGACACCAAATCATCCGATCAAAAGTGAGTTGGACCAAGCTACACACCACTTATTGGGTCATCAAATGAGAATTTCATGATGATACAAGCATTATGACTTCTTTGTTTAATAGTTATCAATTCTTTAAAAAAAGTTACTTTTTCTATGAGTCACTTTTAATTACCTTATTAAAATTAAAATGAGTTAGTTAAAAAAAATAAATTATTTTCTAATTTTGCTCCTAAATTAAAAAAAAAAAGTGATTTGATATATGGGAAGAGTTTTTCTTAAAAATTGAAATATTTTATTTCTTTTTAAAATTTGTTGGAATATATTTTTATAATTGTGCATCAAAGTTTGCAAAAAATAAAGAAGGGTGATTTATATAAAGGATCAATAAAACCTTATAAAATGGGGCTAATAAATAGGATTCAATGGAGTACTTGCTCACCCAATTTAAGAAAATTAATTAAGTATAATAATTATATTTATAATTAAAAAATTTGGATTAAAG